CACAACCCTGTCGTGAATACACGTACTTTTCGAGGAGACTCTAGCCATTACGTCATTATAAAACGTTTTACTCGTATATCTGTGACAACGTGTATTGATAGTAATAAACGGGCGTGACGGTAATCTTGCATTTATTGTATTTCGAATATTCTGATTTAACCAAATAATCAAAAGTAAAGTACGAATCTTCAGTGAAATAATTTAATTCTATCAACAGAAAAAATGATGCGATGGATAGAAATTTCACTAAATTATAATCTTTTTCTTGAAACGTGCGTGTGATCTACGTTAGTGTCATTACTATTAATCAATTTAATTAGCCGCACTCGAGCATTATTAGCAGGTGCGAACAACTTACAGCAGTAACCGACCGTCTGGCATTGCCAAAAATTATTACTGTAAAAACGGTAAGGGGGCGGATGACATTTACAAGGTGTGAGTCATTGCTGAAGGGACTAACTATTTACCGCTGCATTGAAGCATGGCAATCGAGCATTCCGTTTGAACGTCTCTGCAACACCAATACGCTTTTAAACGTTACTATCGTTGAAAATCTTGTAAGTACTGACCCCCCATATCAGCATTGAGAGTATTCAGAAAGTTACTCCTATTTCAACTGGAAGCATCGAAAACATCTTGCCCTAATAAACTTTCTGTCAAGAAAAGTGGTCCCTCATGTTCTTACAAACGAACGAGAATTGAGCTTTCCAGACAACTTTTAAAATATATTGTTACCAGAGATAAAACATGGTTTTTGCAGTATTTTTTCACAGTTTATCCAAGTATGACGATAAAATTTGACTCGGGCGACAAAAAACGGAGGTTTTATGTTTCCTCAGTAGACGTCATTATAGCGAGTATCGTGGTGGGAAAAAAAGCAGGCGGTTACGGGTGATTACTATACTAATATTATACCTGTATGTTTATAAAGTTTAAGGAATCACAGTGCATTGCGACAATGCTGCGCTACACAAGTCACTAAGTACGCGAGTCATATTACTCTCGCATTCCTTATAGTCCTGATCTGGCACCGTCAACCTTTTTATTACAAAAAAAAAACTTGATGGAAAAGTGGTTTGAGACGATTCAAGCTCACTCGCGCCATAAATTCAATAACTGATAGTATATAACAGAAGAGTATGCTGAATGCTCTCAGAGTTGACAAAGAATGCCGAGACTTGCGTAGAGGCCAAAGGAGAGTATTTTGAGAAATAAAATAATTAGATTAATATTTTGTACAATAAAATATTTACTCTTTTTTGATTTTTTGTTTTTGCTTCTCTTTCTCCATTTATTATTTTTTCTTTAAAACCTTTTGAACCCTCCACGTAATTCTCGTTTGATATCCGATATTCAGGACAAAGTTAGTAAGAGAAATTTAGTTTCCCCGTACTAAGCGATATCCGTTATATCGATGGTCTGTTATTGAGTTTCACCGTGTATTGAATGAAATTTGTGCAAACAAAATTATGGTGGTGTGCAAACATTGGGTATATCAACGAGATAATGCCTTAAACACACAGCATAGCAACAAAGAATTTCTCGCATAGTGCTGTCTAAAAGTGCATGTGGCGAGTTTTAAAGACATGGGTTGAAAAAAAAGTAGTTAATCGAATATTGGTGAAAACAATCGTAGTCGAGAATAATTTAGGAGGAAAAAAAGTTGATTGATCGCATACCGCCGAAATTAAATAAAATAACAGAAGAAATAATAACACTATTGCATGGTAAATTTGTCGTACTTTAAAGTATGTTGCAACGCTTCCTGTTATATTATACTTTTTCGCTACGCAGTTATTAAAACGCCATTTTGCCAGCACTGTATATATGACGGACTGGGCATGGCATGGATAGCTGTCCGACTTCCGACTTATCGAGTTTACTTATGTACATGTTTAATAAACTTGTCAGAAGAATGGACTGGACAGTGTTTGCGAGGCGAATAAGATTTAACTTTTAATGAACCTAACCCTAATTATCCCCGTTCTTCGTTTTGTAAATCATGCAAACGCTTCTCTGACATTCTCTGCTTTCTCTACATTTATCATTCAGTGCAAGTTTTTCTCTTGGTAACAAGTGTGCGATTTAGCAAAAACACGAAAATTTTTTTGGAGGATTTATATAATTTTTTTTACTTACTTTTAAAACATTATCGAACCACAATTAAAGAATAATTTAAAATAGTAAATTTGCCAACTGTCATGTAATATAGGGCTGATATCTTTAGTGTCTTATCAACTGGTTACTCTTATGTTTATTGCTTATAATTTACCCAACTGTAATAATACTTGACTAGACACCTCATGCTTTCTCCTGCACGAAAAAGTCTAACATAAAACGACAATTATTTTAGCATTAACATCTTTTATCAAAATGTTGACCATACACACTTGACATGCAGCCAAGGTGTTTTTAAGCTTAATCAAGTCATAACAGTAGTGCGTTCAATAAATTGTCTTTGCTGCCGCGTATAACAAGCCAGATTCAAAAGACAAGTGTGTTTTCTGCAAATAATAAATCTAAAGCATTATTCTCGAATGATATTAACATATACTGAATCCATACCGCATGAGACGTCCAGCGGTAGAGGTTGTATTTTAATCTCAACATTAAGAAGTAATCCGTTGTATCTCGTTAACGTCAATGTCCCAAAATTTATCTGCGTGTTATTGAGGTTAATAATTAATTGGGTAACTGTCCCACGTATCTATTTCTTTTTATATCTATGCGATTCATTAAACAGAATTAACTTTTGTCAAAAAATTCCTAATTTTTGCAAGCGGCGGATTAGCCGCATTAACGAAATAAGAAATGATCTACATAAGAAATAAGAACGTTGATTACCATTATGATTATTATTGCAATTACAGAATTATTCCTTGTCGCCATCCATTTCATAATAGAAACAGGAATTTCCCATTTATCATTTTGTCATTCACGTAATTTGCTTTTGGTTTATGTTGCCGTCGTTCAAAATTTGAAAATAAACCTTCTTTGGAAATGCAAAATTTTTAATTCGACCCAGAAAGGTTAATCTATTCATTTACAACCACACACAAAGAAACGCAGTTTTTAATTGACCCTCAAAATAAAGAATACAGGTCATTTGCTGCTATTCCCCCCTCCCCTTTTTTTTTGAGGTCATTATGTTATGGAAAGATGATAATAATGGACTTTACAGGGGAATGTTGGTGTTTTCGGTCGAAAAAGGGGGCAGTAATAGTAGTTGTTTCTCTCAAACCCTCACTAATATCACATCACAAACCGATTTACTTTACCACAATTGCAACATAATTGCTTTTGTGTTTCCGTGACATGAATGCCGAGTCTGTTCATTCAGCCTTTGATCTATTTTCGATTGATACGTAATGCTATTGTACTGTTTTGTGTTTGCTGTAATCTTGATTAGTACATTTTTGCATTGTTTCTGTGCGATCGGTCCGCCAACACGTCCCAATGATGCTTGTTTCTAACAGAAAATGGGCATTTTATTCTCCGAATTTGATGAGAATGCAGCAAAATCTCGAGTGCTACCGCCACTCATTACCCTATTTGGGTTTGATCAAAAAAGCTTCTTTCTTTGGCTTTAAACATGTTGCCATTGTGTTTTCAACAGATCAACCAATCACGATGTTTATCAAACCGAGTCTTATCTAGTTGAATGTCATTCTACTAATTTCCATATCTAAAATGTTCAGAGTATTAGGATGCGACTCCTTGTATTGAATAAACCGCCATTCATTTAGACAAACAATGTATAATCGACCACACGCTTACAAATCCATACGTTCAGTTCTTCATCTCTATCTCTTCCATTACTGTGGTGTATCTATTATTCATCATGCAGTTGAATCGCCGACCTAATTAGTAGTCGTGCAGATGTAGATAATACTCCGACATACTTCTATTGTGATAGGAGATCTAGGTCGGTGCCGAAAATGAAGACTTATTATAGAGACACAATTACTATAAACGATAGTGTGTAACTTTAATCATTATTGGTCGCTACGCTCTATAACATGCGTAACCTTACAATTTTATTATATTACTTACAATGCAGATGCAAATGTACAAGCAATACTAAATCAATTGTTCCGTTCGTTTCGTTGTCAAAAGATCAACATTCTAACTTTTCGATTTGTTAGCAAAATCGAAACTTACATTAATATTCCAAAACAAACAAGCAAAAATCTATTACGTGAACAAAAATATTGACAAGAAAATTTGTAAAAACAAAATTATTGACATAAAGGGATGCAAAGTTAAAAAAACATGTCTATTGTACATTTCGTCAAATACGTGGAAAATCACAAGAGCGTTAATATCGCGGAAAAGGTAAAGAATCAATTTTCACGCATGGATGTGAATGAAGATGTTCAAGTATGATCTATGAAAAATAAAACAGTCTATGAAAGTGACAAAATGAATACGAAAGATTTCTCGCAAAAAGATCCAATGTTCGGTGAGTGTGAGAAAAGGAAATTATGGAAATTCGTATATAGAGAAGGAAAATTCTACGAGATTACTCTTTCGAAATGATGAAGGAATGAAAGGACTGATTAGATGCAAGATTATGAGGGGAAAAAAAAAAGAGTGGGCAAAAATCGATTGTATATTAGATAGGTGAAAATAAAAGAAAAGGGGGAAAAAAAAAAGAAGCAGCTTGAACTGAATTAACCAAGTCTATTCGCTAAGCATCGCATTGGTATTCGTGACATGATCCGCTTATTTTATAATGCAATTCACATTATATCGAACCGAAAACTCAGTTGTCTACGTTCTTGTCGCCTATCAATAAATACCATGTCCGGTTATTACACACTTGTCCTTGGTAGCCACTGTTATAAAATACTACAGAGAACGCGCACCCCGAATTCTCTTCATAAAAAAAAAAGTCTCTCTCTCTCTTTTCTCTCTTTCTCTCTCGATCTATTGTCGGGTAATGACCGGCTGCTTCAGTCCCACCAGACAAGACACAACACAGTCTTTGTCTCCTCTCATCAAACCTGATTCTTGCCTCCTCCCTCCAAACCGACAAATCCCTCAATGACCCATTCACAATACTTCAAATTTAACCATTTGATACTCTTACAAGTCTGTTCGATCTCCCCCAGAGCGCTTTCGCTAATCTCTGTATAACTAAAGTCCAGACTATTCAAATTTTCACACACGCTTGCTAGTTCGACGAGAGCACTCTGACTAAATCTTTTGCAATGCGTTATATTTAACTGTAGTAACTTGTGCCCTATTCTCTCTGCTATCATTCTTAGAGACCAATCGGTCAACATCAAGCAGGCATTGATATCCAGCGAGATCAAGTTGGGACATAACATTACCAACATTCCGATATCATTGTCTGTTATGTGTCTCCAGCGAGTTTTGATGTGTGATAAGTCTATCTCGCGCACTAACGCTCCGGAAGAGGCGGGTATGGAAAGGAAGGAGTGAAAGGCGGAGATAGAGGCAAAACGTGGTCGAAGATAGAGCAAAGGAAGGGTAAACAGACGTATGCGTCGGCAAGTAAGGGTTAGAGCAGAAAGAGTGTTTTGGTCGTTACGAAAGGTCTGGAAGATTGTGATGAGAAGCTCTGGCGGAAGTCGGTTCATGGAGTATGTATACATTGTTCTTTTTTAAATGGAGAGGGAAGAGGGGGGAGAAGTGTGAGTTATGGAAAACACTTGTAAAAGAAAATGTCCACTTGTGAATAGGTAGAGAATGACGATAATCGTATTCCCGTCTCTTTGTTGGTAAAGTAGGGAGGAGACTACGTATTTATTTTGATTGTGTTATATGTGAGGCTATGCGCGGGTGTTTGTGTGAGAAGGTAAGAGGGGGGGGGTTATGGGGGGGCGGACGTGAGGGGGGGTGTGTTGGTCGGAAGAGGGTTCTATTGTTGTCGGAGTTGAGAAGTAGAGAAAAACGAAAGAGGGAGAATGTGATATAAAGGAGGGAATGACAGTATTTAAGTGGTTTTGAAGGATGGGTGGGTTAAAGATAGAAAAGAAGGAAAGTAACAAGTTGGGGGGGGGGTGGTGGGCTGAAGGACTGAGTGGCAAGTGTTCAGACAAGTGGGGGACGAGATAAGATATATGCGTGTGGGTATCTAACGCGCATGTAGGAAAATTTAAAATATACATCTCAATTTAATAAATAATCCAAACAAACTGACATATTTGGATAGATGCCGACAGCCAAAAGCAACAGACTTATCTTCTTCCACCATTCGTACGCAATTCGTATTTCCTGATCACCCTAAACCTAACGTAATTAAGGTGTTGTGGTCCAAGATCTCGAATCCTGATGAGCGAAAACTGAATAAATACAGAATAGTGAAATAAAACGGTGTGACGTAAAAAATATATACTATCGTTAGGTAATAACATTACATACTCCATTGTATTATGTAACAAGAGTTTATTTAAAAAAAAAAAAAAAAAGGCAAGAAAATGAAATAAATTACTTGATGATAACAAATATTTTGTTGTTGATTATTTTGGTGTTCATTGAATCTCCTTTAGTAGAACAGCCCTTTTTCTCGAATCAGACAGTTTTACTCAATTTGGAGGTGATAGCGATTAATTGGTACTTTGATTGGCGAATGAACAAATGGCATCGCATGGGAAACAGGAAAAATGTTCGGTTACGAACGTTTGGGATTCAAAAAAAAATATAGTAGTATCGGGTCCTACCCTCCCATCTGTCCCTTCATCTCGCATTATTCGTTCGATAACTTTTTTTTCCTCCCCTCTCATTGCATGCCACCAAAACTTTAAAACGAAAACAATATAAAATAAGAATGAACCAAGTTAAATAAACTAAAATGAAATAAATTAAATTAAACTAAAACCACATGAATTTTTCGCACCATGATTAATACTTATTTTATTAGATTAAATCACATCATACTTGTTTTCTCCCTAACCGAAAACCCCATACCGACTCGATCGTACTGGCCGACGGAAATTAGAAAATGGTGATGGATAAAATATTTGCAGCAAAGATATAAGCAGAGATTATTATGATAATGACAATCTCTCTCTCACTTTCGCTACAGTCCGAACGGTGGCCAGATAAAAACAACGCAGTCTGCCGAACGGACATGAATAGTACGAAATTTGTTATTAAAATTTTTCGTGCGAAAAAGAAAAAAATAGAGATGGGTTTAGGTTATTAACTTGGGAACGTTATTGGACCGTAAAACGTCGTGGGGGGTAAATTATTAATTTCCCCCCCCCCCCCACTCCCATCTGTCTTGACCCCAAATACCATGTTAACTAGTCTTTATTCGATTCCCTGTGACCATTTACAACCAAAAACCCTAAACAGCGGGGAACCGAGCGATTCTATTAGTGGTATTGTTATTACCATCTGCTGGTCACGTAACAATGGGGTAATCATGCGGTTGTTATTTTTCATTCATTACAAATAAGAGAGAGAGCGTCAATGCACCCAACGCTTGTAACGAATGAAATGAAAAAGCATGGATGCGTTGTGAGTATCTTTATTTGTTACAATTTTTTTTACTTTCGGGTTTTGTGTGTTGCGAGAGTGTCTCAATGGTGAGTGCACCCGAGGACGGGAAGGGGAATAACAATCAAATTACGATTGTGATATAATAACGAAATGTTATTGGCCAAGGATTGTCTAGCGATATTGGGCACTTTTAGGTTACGAGAATGGGGAATACAAACTGCAAGAAAGCTGCTTATGGAAGTAAGCAGGGGAAGTTAATGAACTAATCAAAAGGTTGAGAATATAAATGGTAGCATGGGATGTTTCTGTTATCGTTGGAGGGGGCTATTATTTGTTAGTATCATTAGTATTGTTATTATTTGCTTAATTATTTAATAATATTTGATTGTTTACTTATTTATTATTGATATCTCTCCTAATGCTGTAATGCAAATGACCAACTTGTGCCACACTCGTCTCTTAATTATCCCCTGATCGATTAGCTAATGCGCGGGAAGTGTCATTTTGGTTATTACAAAAAGAGGGATCGTCAAACAAACAAATGTAACTATGTCGATGATTCACTGGTCGATCATGTCGAGTCGCACACTTTCATGCAACTCTCTCTCACTCACTGGCGATCATCCATGAGAAACAGGAGAGAAACGAGAAAAAGTCACTAGTATATGAACCGTGGAAATGAGATGAAATACATTAGATGCTAACGTTAATTGTCTATCGATCTGTGCACAAACTTTGAACCCACTCTTGCCATCACTTTCTTATCCGTTTGTCATGAATTAACGTTAAGGTTCAAACCCACGCCCCAACATGACCGGATAAACAGTTAAGCGCAACATTTAATTAATTACCTTTACACAAAAATGCTTATAGATTACACACATGTCTCTACCGAAGCAATGTTTCTGGTGGCTTTGAGATTATCTACGCATGCTAAGAGAGGAAACTCTGATTCTACATATCTTTCACCATTGAACGTCGGACGAAACTGAACATAATATAAAATAAACCTATCAACAAATAAACAAACAAACAAACCATGCAAGTCATTAAATATTAAATTTGATGTACATTCCAAGCCAAGAATCTTGCGCTCTTCATTGTTCCTCTTTCGACTGCTTTTTTATCTGTATTCCACTTTTAGATTGACTATCAACTAAACTTGCCGAGTTGGGTTTTTCTGAAACATCTTTCGATCAAACACGCCGATGAAACACTGTATAATGTTTGAAAATAGATTGTGATTGAGATAACACTTTAGTTTTCCTGTTCGAACTTTCTGGATTAGATAACGAACTAAATTATAAATATAATTGATTTTTGGAAGATGGCGTAACAGTTACAAAACGGGTCTGCAGGGTACGATTTATTTATATTTGTGTCATGATGTGGTCAACGGTTTACACTCAATGGTCAACAAACCGATTCCTTCAAATTAAGCACTGTCCCTCCATCGAACAAGGTAATTCATTCTTAACGTTCTTTCACTCGGTCACATTCCATGTCTCGAACGAGACAACGATGGATTAGTTGGCACGTTTATTATTCATTCCTAAAATTGTTTGCTTTTACCAGCACCTCTTGAACGAAATAATTCATTTGCCTTCCCAATTGAATAGACGAGATAATTTGCCCTTAACTTTATTTGCATTCTCATATTCCACACTTTGAACAATTGCTGTCGCGGTTTTCATTTTAGCACAAAACGTCGTGAAAATATTCAACGTTTACAAAGAAGAGCTTGTTTTTTTAATTAACATGTCTATAGCATACACGACTTTTCTCAAGACAGACATAATCTTTGTCATCGTTTCTGTCCAGAAATGTAGTTAGCCAACTTTCTATTCAGAATCGCGACAAGTGGTTGGAAGAAAAAAGTACCCTTACCATAAGAGAAATCATAATGTGTCATAAAGGTAGAGACTATAATCACACTGGTTCAACGCCTACCGTGGTTAAAAGTTGGTTAATAATTCAGCAGCACTTTGATTTCATTGTATATTATCGCTATAAGCACTTTCCGTTTTCCAACAAGTAAACACCCCCTAAATTAAGAAAAGTGAAGTAATAACAAAGTGAGTAACCTCAAAAACATGCTAACGCAAAACCGATCGTTGAAATCCATATGTTTCCCTCATTCGCTTAAAATTTTTTAAAATCGTTCACGTCACGTAAGTGTATTATGTCTTCAAAAATGTCTGAATATCTATAATGCAAATAAAGTATTTTCCTTTGTGTTATTTAAACTTGATCGATTCAGACGTTGACAAGATTACCACAAAGCTGTATAGTCTCCAATTTACTCTTTATTGTTATATCTCCGCAAGGTCTAGCAAGCACGTTACTAACTTCAAGCCAGCCCGCATGTGTAAGGTGTTATAATGCAAAAGTCTTAAATTTAATGCCTTAGCGACTGACTTGGGAAATCGGTGTTTTTATTTATTCTGAAATGTTAAGTGACATTACGTCCTTGTTACCAAGAAGATGTTCGAGAAACAAGTCAAAGAGAAAAAAACTGTTTTAAAAAGAGAGTGCATTTATCTCCCGATGAGAGAATTGACATCCCAGTAAGAAAACTTGGAAGAATCTTTACTGCGGTTAGTTCCCAAATACGGCATACCTGCTCAATGGCCAAAAGCTAAAATAAATGTTGAAGAAATAGAATAACCCTGAAAGCTAATCTAGAAGGGCTGTGTCGGCATCTGACAGTACTCCGCATTGAGGTCTCAGCAGCTCATATTTCAAAAATCGCTATTAAATCTCGCTCCTAAGGTGACAAGTTTGTTCTCATTGCATAGTGATAATCGATTATAAATTTATACGGATTTTTTTCTGGAAACAGAATTTTTACCAATATAGCGTACTTTTATGTCAATATTAAACAGTGACATGTAATTAGCTTAGCTCAATAATATTCCACTTTATTATATAGCAAGAGTGTCAATTAAATTTGCCCGAATTGGGATTTGAAAATTTGAAAGATTTACGTCAAAATTAGAATGAGCATGAAAATAACACTTTACTTTTCCTGTCCGAACGTATTAATTTTATAAATATAATTAATTTCATAAAAATGGAAGATCGCGTAACAGTTGCAGAACAAGTCCACAGCGTAAGATTTATTGATATTTATTGATGTCGTCGATTACAATCAACAGTTTACATTCAACAGTCAACAAACTGATACTTGCAAGGTCATCCATAAATCACTCTTAACCAATGTAATAACCTGGTCTCGAACGAAATAATTCACTCTTAACTTTGGGTCACAAGTATCCGGCCCTAGTTTGAGAAAATAGTTTGAGGAAAATTAATTACCCTGCGTATAACGTATAATAAACCCTGATCATCAACTCGATCATTAAAAATATATGAAAACCATATTAAAATCCCATATATTCATATGTTCTAATCGATTAGTATGATCATTTTTTGTGTCAACAAATATATGAACGCATTCTGATAATGTAGAACCAAAAATTGCCAGATAAAACATTTGATGTTTGGAACTTTTGTTTTATTTTTAATATACACTATACAAAGTGAAATTTTCAAATCGTTTCCTCATTCGGATACTTATGACCGCTACTGTATTTGCCTTTCCCAAATCTCATACTTTGATCGTGATTGTTTTTTTTGCCTGGTATTTAATCTACGTTTAACATGTCTATACTATAAACGAAAACGGACATAGTCTTTGTCAGCGTTCCTGTCCAAAAGTATAATTGGCCAACCTTCTTATTCAGAACTTTGACGCGCGGAAGAAATTGCTGATTTTTTTTTTATTTTAAAAAATCATAAAAGGTGCGAATCGGTCGACGAAATGGACTGAGAAGTGAGAAGCACTTTGAAGGATATTACGACATGTTAAAAACCTATGATGTTTAATTGAAGAAACATCAAGAAATTCTACGGGAGAAATTTAAAAAAATTATGCTATATTCTAAATTACCCGATCACTTTTATTTAATCGGGGAATTTTAGGTAGAACATAATTTTCGAAATTTTTACTATAGAATTTCTTGATGTTTAAGGAATCATATCATAAGAGTAATTCATGAAGGAATACATGGCAGATAGTCAGGTGAGCATTGGACGTGAGTTAGATCATAAACACGCAGGCCACTCCAAAGTGGTGTGGCTACGCCCCCGCCACACGGTTCAACGCCTGCTCATGGCTTCTAAATTCGTGTCACACCACTCAAGCATATCATGCTCTCGAATCACCACCGCCTGAATACAAAGAAAGACCCGCCGGGAAACGCTGATGACCTTTATAATGGAAACCAAGTATTTTCCTTTTTGTGCTATTTAAACTTGAGCGGTTCAAACGTTGACAAGATCACCTGACATAAATAAAGTTGTATAGTCTCCAGTTCAATCTTTGCTTTCGTCTTTTTCGAATGTCTCTTTAATTGAGACCTTGGCCGATCCGCGCGGCATAGGTCTAGGCTGAGTAGTGTGTGGCTTCCAACCGATCATGTATATTACTTGGAACGTCGCGGGAATGTTTCCATTAGAGTCACCGTAGAGTTCCTTATAGACGGCTGATGCTGCAATAAGATTATCGCGCGTCAAGTAGGGGCGTCTGGTAAACCGATGCGATAGCGAAACAAGATTATATTGGGATGGGAGGACACGTTCATCACAAGAAAGACTGATTGCGTTATATAATACCTTGCAATGACAGCATTGCTTTCGCCCATGCTCCTCAAATCCATCATCAATTCAAACATGGACGGATAATTAACGACAATATCATCGACATCGATGGTCGTCAGGTTGAATCCTGCGCGAGAAAGAAGGGATCCTACATCTCGTACGGCTGGGGAAAAAAAAAAGATGAACGAGAAATTATGTATGCGTCGAATCACTGAATTCTCTAGACATAAAGACGAGAAGGGGGCACTCGAGATAATTACTTGTCATTGGAGATACACGCGGTGAAAGTCCACCCTCACGCTCTTGTTCCGTCAATTGGAGTGACGTGCTAAATTTAAGACGGTTTTTATCGTAATTAGTCAATTCATTGTCAAAAATTATTCGCATTTACTTTTGCGTATCACAAGAGTGTACGCTATAGAAATGAGCAAGACGTAGGTCATTATTCGATGCACTACCGTAGTTCAAATAGCGTATCTCCTCCAAGTATGGCGCCGATAAACGGGCTGTCTGGCTTCAAGGAACGCCTGATCTGGATCAATGCACCTGTATTGATCCGCCAAATGTTACAATTGCTTTTTTAGGAACTACTAGCAATCATTCAATTTGTTCACCTGGTAAATCATTAACCCAATGTAAAGACATGCTGCTAACAACAGCATCCAAGGAATCTTCCTCGAATGGTAAAAGTTCCTCATCAATTGCTCTTCGTTCGACCTCAACTGTAACCAAAATCAGTAAATTTAATCATTAGTCATTACAGCACAGGGGTCACAAGGGCCATTACATACCATTGTATTTGATATCTTTGTCCCGTTCTAACATATTTCCTAAAGCAATTTCATTGGATATATCCATATTATATATAGTAAATGAATGTAAATGAAAATCGATTTGTTCCAACATTCTAACATACTTGAAATGTCACACATGATGATCTTTTGTACCATGTCTTTCTCTATGAACTTTTCAATATGCCCGCAACCGCTTCCCAAATCGACTATTGTATTAAACTTGCGTTTTATATCCTACAAATTGGTGTTTATTATCGAATGCATACATACATGTAGCAAGTCGATCGTTCTTAATAAACTACCTCTCAAAAACGTTTTTTCTAGTCTAATTCGATACCAACCGCCAATCGGTCGACAACTCTTTCGGCAACTTCGTCCTTTAAATAATCGGCCACCCTGCTGTTCTCCACGTCTGCTGCAGCACGGTCTCGCTGTCGTTGTTTAGCAGCGCGATCAAAGATCCTAAATTCTGCCGGTGTGCCCGATGACGTTGTTGAGGCATGGCGAAAAAGTATCCTCGGAATAATCAAGCATGTACGATGCATGATGATTTGTTTCAAGAAAAACAAATGTCAAAAGTTTGTTGGCTAAATGCTACTACGCCCAGAATCGATCAACCAATTGCATGAGCGTGATGCAAGTATTTATAAATTATTGCCCATTATTTAGTCAATTTGGGGTTGTGCGTATACATGGCATACAGAGCAACCTACCGGAGCGCTACTCCGGCGAATTAAATTATAAAAATGCAACTTAAAAGCAGTTATATACTATGGTACACACACGCTTGAACGTAATTTAAGTTTGGCCTAATAAACAATAATGAAATTTACGGTGAAGGGCCTTACCCAATCAATTATAGACAAGAAGGACGACTATAAAGACAAGACTATTATCGCAACTTTACCAGCCTTTGAACCCCATCCACCCCCGCCTACGGAAAGTGGCTACACCTATTCAATAGACGATTCCGATTACGACATGTCTCGTTACGCATATGAAGAAGGCTCTTTTACCAAGAACAATCCATTTAGCTATATTGGGGGTAGTGATGACGACGATTTCACTCCAGCAGCACATCGAGTGCCTTCGGCTCGTACTCATACCCGCCATATACGCTCCAAATCAGCAACAAGGAAACAATCGAAAGAAAAAAGTCTCCATAACCGTAGTAGAACTGATTTTGAGGACGATGATAACTTGAGTAAGATATCCGCGGAAATTAACAGTTCTTATTCACGTCCTAGAACTGCTTACGGTTTCTCCGAGGACGTGAAAAAGATATCCGCAGATGTCAACAGTTCTTATTCACGTCCTAGAACTGCTTACGATTTCTTTGATGAGATGCAAAAGAAATACGCAGATGTCGACAGCTCTTATTCATATTCTAGGACTAATTATGATTACAATGATGAGTCAAGGAAGACATCTGATGATTTTCCATTAAACACCAGAAAGACGGGCATGGTAATAACGGAAACGTATGTTGCTCCCGAAAAGTCATCTACTCGGCCTACGTACGATGCGCCCGAAAAGTCATCCACTCGGCCTACGTACGATGCGCCCGAAAAGTCATCCACTCGGCCTACGTACGATGCGCCCGAAAAGTCATCCGCTCTGCCTATGTACGATGCGCCTGAAACTCGGCCTACGTACGATGACGATGATCGTGATAATGATGAACTGAAACCCGCTGAAAACTATTATGAAACAAATAACACTAATTATGAACCCGAATCTGCATACAGTTCAACAAAAACTTCAAAATCCTACGGTCCATATCCCTCATTAGATCGTTCGGATGTTTCTTTTTCTTATTCTTATTCTCCCGTCCCTCAGACTTCTTATCATAATAGACCAAATGGCCCAATGTCAATGCCAATGCCAATGCCAATGCCTTTCCCCGACCCAATTATGGATGAGGCTTACAACGAAGAGCCACCACCACCATACACACCATCACAAACAGATGCCCCATTCTCGTATAGTGGTGGAAACGATACCAAGAAGGAACGTAGCAATGGCGACAGCAAGGGTGGACATCGTCGTCGGAGACAACAACGCAGCACAGCTGAATTGAGAGAGTGTGCAATATGCTGTTCCGAAAAAGAATTAACGGAATTTAAACCAATAACAGAAAATTGCGCACATATGGCTATCGTATGTTTGCTTTGCATTGAATTACACATCAGACATGAGGTGTACGACAAAGGAAAGACAGAAATTAAATGTCCTGGCCTTGATGGAACGAAAACTTGTCAGGAGATGTTGACTGTCGACCATATCAGAGAGTTTGCTACTAACGATGTATACAAAAGGTAATTATTTGATTTATTAGGTAAGAAAAGATTTATACGATTGACTAACTTGGACGTTCTTTATTGTTCACAGATTTGATCAGCTCACTTGCACTTATGCTCTTGCTGCGATACCTGATTTCTACTGGTGTAAAAACCCTGATTGCAAATCAGGACAAATACATAGCGATGGAGGTAAATTTTATTTATATCTCTGACGTTTACAGTTTACATTATTCATTATTAGTATTTTTTGCATTGTTTGTTTTTTATTCATTTCATCTTCCTCACATTCTCACTTTTTTTTTTCACTTGCAACGATAGAAATTGCTCCAATAATGACATGTCAGGCTTGTGGCGCTAAATCTTGCGTAACTCACGATTTGCCAATCCCAGCTAATTCGACCCGCTGTCTACAATGCGATCCTATCCCTCCAGAGGTAATTGAGACACCAGCTCAACCCACTCTCTCACGCAAAGAGCAGGCAAAACTAAAGAAACAAGAAGAGGAGAGATTGAGAAAACTTGCTAAAGCCGAGCAGGCAACAAAAACATTTCTTAGTAACAAGACAAAATCGTGTCCCAAGTGTGGTACTCGTATACAAAAGAATGGCGGATGTGATCATATGACATGCACTGTGCCCTCTTGCAAACATGAATTCTGTTGGAGGTGTTTTGCTGATTACAAGACGATTTTGGATGGTGGAAATGAGTTTCATGCAACCTCGTGTAAATACTACGCTCCTCCTCCTCCTCCTCCGAGTTAATGTGCATATGGTCACATTTTATTGTTATCAATTGTATCATACTTATTTCGAGCTTGGTCATGTTCGAGTAACGTTGACGTTGTCTGGTAGAGAGGCATAGATTTTTAATATTAAAATTTTACGATGTGCTTATCTATAATAACGGGCTAGTCATGACTGTGCTAAATTAATACATAATTCTTCAAGACAACAAATTTCACGCGAAAGAACTATTCAAATTAGTAGGCACTATATCTCAATTTAAAGATGTAAAAGAATCATTTTACTCAATCAGATATAAACCGTAAACAAAAATTTGGTGTGCAAATGAGATAAAATGCTCAAAGCCAAATGCGGAATGATCAGGTGGATACTCGTCTCGTTACCTGTGTTTCAGAAACACGGATTAGATACAATCGCGTTCAATGCTTTATCGAGACAGATGACGCAAATGCAAAATGTAGTTTTCTGGATCAATCGTTCCGCCGTCGAACCAATCTTACTTTGCATAAATTCTTTGGGACTGGGATTATTGTGATACAGTTTTGAATTTCCAGCATGAAACTCTTTGATTTGCAAATTAAGCCTGTTCACAAAATCTGCATACATGCATGCTGCAATATCGTTTTGTCCTGAGTTACCTTTATATAATCATCGAGATTGTGATATTAATAGCCTTGTCCAACAAAACCAACCTCTCAACGGACAAATTTATATATTAATATACAATTATTTCTCTTGGCAATGTTTCTGTAGGCCAACATTAAAGCAATACATGATTTAGTTTTAAATTCATATTTGAAATAGGTAAAAAGGTAAACAAATATTATTTTCTATTAATAATTGATGTAATAGTAAATATAACTTCTTAAATATTTGTCAACATACTAATACACATCGTTTTAATAAATTATCAACGAGATGGTTCAAGTGACGTGATACATGTTCTAGAAATTACTACCAGCTATTATATATTAGTCATTTGCACAACAAGCAAAGGGCCTACCATAGTCCTACTACTACTATCCTTTCAGACCAAAGTTCTCAACATTGAACTTATATGTTGTTTCACAACTGCCCAGATAAGCTCGATTATAGTTACTCGAAAGTTTTTTCTGACAGCCCATTGAATTCCATTATTATTATGCACGTTCAAAGTTTGAGCTGTGGAATATTGTAAAACTGATCCAAGCTTTCAGGATTTACTAGAGTCCCTGAAGGAATAACTTTTTGTCCACTAATGATTCTCTTCACAGCCACTTCAACCTTCTTCCCGTTAATAGTGTACTGTCATATAGTGATAAACATAAATATGTGCTAGATTAAAACAATCATACATGTACAACAGTCCCACTTACAGGAATTTGCTTGATTGCCAATATCACAGTTGGAACATGTCTTGGACTCAGTTGCTCTCTTATTTGCTTCTTAAGTCTTGCAACAAGTTCATCCTTTAAATAAAACCCCTCTGCCATCTTTACAAACAAGACAACTCTCTCATCATCACCCATCTTTTGACCAATTACAAGGCTGTCCTCAATCTCTTTGAAAGTGTCAACTATATTGTATATCTCAGCACTACCGAAGCGAACTCCACCTGGATTAAGCGTGCTGTCGGAACGTCCTAGCACTACAACTCCACCAGTTTTCGGATTAATCCAGACAAAATCTCCGTGATACCATGTCGAAGCATAATTGTCGAAATATGTACCACGATACTTTACATTGTTTGGATCGTTCCAAAAAAATATTGGCATACTTGGAAACGGCTTGGTACAAACCAAATCACCAGACTGGCCATAGACTGGTTTGTCTTTAATAACAATGAAAAGTCAAGTCAGAGATTGTTAAGCATAATACACAGAGAAAAACGTACTACTGACCTTGTCCAACCCATGCTTCAACGGCCATGCCTAAACAGCGACCTTGGATTTCTCCTCGATAAACTGGCAGAGTAACGTTATATCCAGCAAACAATGAGCATATGTCCGTGCCGCCTTGAATATCAAGAATGTTGTGTAAGAGACTGGTCAATTCAAGTATTATTGCAATTAAGACTTTAAGTTTGATGATTACCCGTGATGGAACTAAGGGTGACGTCTTTTTTGATTGCCTCATATACGAAATCAAAGCTTTCTGGCTTCAGTGGTGATCCAGTGGATAGTATCATACGTATACACTCGAGATTATGATGAGCTTTAGGCACATATTCCGCGTCCTCAACAGATTGTATGTACTTGGCAGAAACGCCAAACACTGTAATTCTGCAAATTTAATACAATCAGAAGACGCCAGAAACACGCTTTGCTTTTCATAATTATGAGATATGTTCTACCTTAACGCGTCCGCCAATTCCCATAATGTAGGTAGACCTGGTTTGAATGGTGATCCATCATATAGTATGACAGTACAACCAACACTCAATCCACTCACCAACCAATTCCACATCATCCATCCAGTTGTTGTATAATAGAAAAACACATCATCTGGAGTCAAACCACCATGTAGCATATGTTCCTTTTTGAGCTGAAGAAGTACACCTCCTGCTCTATGGGTAATACATTTGGGTTTCCCGGTAGTCCCAGAAGAGAAAAGGGCAAACAGTGGATGATCGAAAGGTAGCTGCTCAAAATGAAGATCTTCATTTTCATCAGCCATACTAAGAAGCTCATTCCAAGACATGGCACCCGGAATCTCTTGAATGTCCATTGACGCAGTCTCCACAAACGGTACAACGACCACTTTCTGCAATCCAATTTCATCAAGCTTCTCCACCACTGTTTTCAGTTTACTTATGTGCTCATGGGTTCTACCGTTATACACCACCGCATTGACCGAGAACAAGACTTTTGGATTAATTTGCGATATTCTATCAAGTACACCAGAAATTCCAAAATCAGGCGAAGTGCTTGCCCAAATACAACCAATACTAGCAGCAGCAAGCATAGCTATGACAGCCTCTGGACAATTACTAATGTAGGCAGCAACACGGTCTCCCGGTTGGAGGCCGAGTTTGCGAAGGGACGAAGCGACCAGACGGACGGCATTGTAGAGTTGTAGGTATGAGAGTGTCTGATGAGGCCGGTTTTCACCTGTTATGAATAAATAGAATCAGACGCTGGGTTCTACGTATTTATTCAAGTCTTCGGGTAATTGTCTACGGGGCTTACCAGTCGAAATCAAAGCAACCTTGTTCGGGTCACGGCACCAAAGCAAATTTTCGGCAAAGTTTAGTCTGGCTCCAATGAACCAACCGGGAATTTCTTCCATAGGTTTAGGCTCTAAAACCTAATCAAGTAGGAAATCTGACATTGAGGCGAGTTTTCCTTTGTGTGCAAATTAGGTGTAATAAAGGAAGGTTATCTTCGTACTTGATCATAAGTTACAGAGTGAATTATTTTTGTGTAATTCCAGACGGATGCCCAAAATTCAGGAATATTGTCCACAGACCATTTACGCAAGTCCTCATAGTTGGCTATTTATATTTGGGTGAAAACGGTTTTCACGTTAGCCGAGACACGGCTAATGGGCTATTGTTCTTAACATTATTTACTGCAAGGTTCAAGAGGGAAAACACCACCTAACTTCAGGTTAAACGTTTTATTGACAGTTCTACGAAAATCTTCCATAGCCGTATTGGAGATATCTTTAGGTCTCCATAGTTCAACGGGATTCAGAGGTATCGAAGAATCTGACATTGCGAAAGTGGAAAGGAGTAGAGAATGTTTAAAATCCAAAGCTCCTTATATAGAATGTGGCTTAGTATTTGATTCGATTAAAATATCCGAAAATATGGACAAAATTTAGCATCATAAAAAAGCGCAAGATGTCTAGTTCCAAGAAATTGAGCGATCAAGGTTGAGTCTTTGGTAACGAGAGGGATTGAGAGCTGGCATGAGGAAAAGGAATTCATGCATGACTGCTAAACGCGTTGCTGGTCTTAATTCTTGAAATAGAGTTGACTGCCAAGTTTAACAGCATGAAGTCCGATTTGCACAATCTTGCACAGAAGATCGGGGAGCTTGAAGGCGAGACTGAAGAACACAAGTAGTTGTTAACTCGTGTAATTTGCTATTTTATATTTTTGCTATTCTTCACTAAACGAGTTTTTACGCGTTTAGAGCAGTAATAGAAACGCTCTCTCCATTGAATGGTGACAGGAAATGTTTTCGACTAGTCGGAGGCGTTCTTGTCGAGCGCACTGTTAAAGACGTCTTGCCCGCTTTAAAGACAAACCAAGAAGGGGTAAATACCAATTGACAAGTTGTGTTTTGGTATCGGTTATTTACTTAGAGTCTTGTTGTTCTTTCCCTTCTGCTAACTGCGCATAGATCAAACGAGTAATGGATCAATTAATCAAAACTTATAAAGAGAAAGAAGACGAATTCGCAGCTTTTCAGAAAGAGTATAATATCAAGTTGGTTCCAAGGACATAAAATTGTATTACAAGTGGTGAGGCATTCATAATAATAGCGTTTTACATCAGATACCATTTAATACGCTTATTAACAATACGTGTATTAAAACTCTATAAGCTTTTTTTATCATTTGTAACTTATTGACACAGTGTGAAACCTAGTATTATTCAAACTTGGGGTAATCTTTCCCATATTCAAGAGACGTTTGATCCCTTGAAAATATCTTCCAGAAAACAGCAAATACGATTCCAAAAAATGTTAGGGTAATAAATGGATGATTCCATATTCCGTTGTACGTCGTCTAGTGGATTTATTGGATAAATATGGAATGAGGTTAGCTATCAAACCGATCGCCGACTAGTCAATAGTAGTTTTATTACACTCTTTACCTTTGCGAATCTCTCAATGATGCTAATTGTACTTTTGCCAACGAGTCTGCTTTCTTTAGCATCGATAATAGCATCATATAAGGTTACTTCATCGTAGATTGAAAATAAATTTCCTCGTGTTGTGCTGTCGAAATATTCATCGCCCTATTCATCGCAAAAGCATTATGGTCAATCTTATGTAATACGTTTCCAACAGACTAACGTAACTTCTTTCCGCATTCTTTCTTGTCCGTCGCGATTCAACCAAACAATCACAGTACCTCAGCATCGTGAATAACAACAGTGGGAAGGCTCTCCGTCCTAATTCCGTACATGCGTCCAACATACTCTGACCATCTAGTTCCATCAATCCACGCAAACACAACTTCTCTTCGTCCCTCATTTCCACCTGCTTCGTTCACCTTTGAATAATATCTTAATGCGACGTCCTTTAGCGTCTTCTTCGCTTCAGTAAACTTCTTTTCTTTAGGATTCATTATACCGAGTACAACCAATTTTGATCCTTTGAGTATTTCCTCCGAATTGCTCAGATCTATTTGTGTGAGCAACGGATATTTATGTTTTTGAATAAAGGCTTTGAGAGATTGGACGTCGGTGAAGGCGTTCGACGAACCCGAGTTGTATTGGTAATTAAGGTCAGATTTAACGACTAGAAACGCCGGAATTTCAGAGATACCAAGTTGTAGTAGGATTTCTGGATCGTCCGAAACGTAGAATTTGCCAATAGAAAAGTATGTTTTAGAGAGATCGTCGATTGTTACCTGGAGTGTCAATCGGAAGCGTAAGGGTCAATTAAATAGCCTGCCTGGCAAGTATTAAAAACATTCTCAGGTCCGCACGGTACTCACCATTGCTTCAGCAGGAGTTTTTGCATCGTGGACAAATAAAAAGAACAGTTCCTCTTTTTCTCTGATATCGGCAAAGTCATCAGCATTTATTTTTACGACGCCAGCTGCGACAGCCTTCTCAGCCCACTTTCTCAATTCTTCCAATTTACGCGAGCCTCTGTAGTCTGTTGTTTCGCCATTTACCAACAGTTTCAGAGTAGGATATCCCCTTATTGAATACTTATTGCAAGTATCTTACAGACAATACATTGTATCAAACCGTTCGAGTAAATATGATGCCAATGAAAAGCGATAAAACTTGTGTGCAGCTCGATCCCTGTCTTAACAATCAATCCCTGCCCTCGTAGTTTAATAATTTATCGAATACAACGTACCTCCTTCGACAGTACAATCCACCGTGCCAACGTTCACTTTTCCTTTCAGGACCTTCCCCAGCTCTTCCCACGTTGGCTTCAATGTCTGACAATGTGGACACCAAGGAGCAAAAAACTTGATGAACCATGGGCCTGATTTAGTCATCTCGTCAAAATTTTTACTATTCAACTCTACTACGTCGCCGTGAGGATTGATTGACCTGATGTCGTATTTTGAGGCGCTGGTTGCGATGAATTCTGTAAGTTCTTCTGAAGTATGCTGACCTTTGTACTTTTGGACCTTTTTACCATTTGCGAAACTGCACGTAATTGATGAGATCATGATATTAAAAAAAGGGGAAAGAACAAAGTTAAGATTTAGCTCCCAAAAAAGAAAAAGACCGTGTGATACAATTAAGACTCATAACACTTACAGTAAAAGGGTTGGTGTTTCGCGAATGTCATACTCATCACTCAAATCTATTAATCATGATTGTTATTCTCCAGAATCATGTCGTCAGGATCCGAGTAATTAAATAGATACTTTACCCCCTTCCAAGGTGATGTCAACCTGTCCAAAATGAAAATTTTCCGTATCTTCCAGATCAGTGACAGCGTGTGCCAGAGCTTTCCATGTTGGCTCTATTCACAGACGACGTAAGGGTTAGTTACTAGTTATTACCTCGTGCCACACGTTAAAACGTGAAACTAATGATTCGCATACCAAAGAGTTTACAATGTCCGCAATACGGACTGAAGAAGTTCACTAGCCTGAAGAAAGTCTGACATTAAAATACTTTATACTTGCTGATTGCATATCTTTACATTCTCTTATATGCTTACCAAATTCCTTTGGATATATTGTCGGCAAAGTTAGAGTGAGTTAGAGACACTATTTCGGCACGCAAGGTGCTCACGAAAAAGATTAATACAATTACTAATATCGGAAGCTGCATCCTCTTGTTCTATTGTAAGAAGAACTCGCTTTAAAAATCTAAACAGCAATTATTATTATGTGATTTCTTCATTAGGCCAGGGATTACTAAGACGAGCGTGGAATGGGAAATAGAGTTACCAACTATGGTGTGATCTGTTCCTGAAAGTTTCATGATCGAATATTAATGGGCTTTTGACACAAAAAATTAAGATTAATTATTATACGTGTGACTGATGCAATACAACTTTGAAAGCCGGAAACACTGCCAAAAAGTACATTACTTGACTAGTCATTAACATGTCTCATACTATCACAATTAGGCTGGTTCAACCTGACGGAATTGAGAGCTATATTCTGTATTATAGCTAATATATGCAAGCATAGAACTGGTTAGAGATGGTTCTGAAGTTACAAGTTCGCAAAGTCTCTGCACACTATGATCTTGTAATAAAAAAACCCTTTCAATACATGTGTAAAAATTGCCGCAACATAGTTATCAAGTATAGCAAGATATAACGATAAGCCAATTTGTGACAAGGCTAAACCTAAAAGCTTAATTGCTTTGTTAAACATCACGGTTTACGGAAACTTAAACTGCGACACTGTTCAAAGATGCTAGTATTAAATTATGCTAGTACCTCGAATAAATCGGGATATTGGTATAAGCGTAAATACGAGCAAGAAGAATTCTTCCTTGATCACTAGAGCATAAAGCCACTATCTACATTCTGTTAACAAGACCTTTATTAGTAAAATATTAAATATAAAGATTGCTTTAAATTTGTAGGTTATCATTTTTTTAGCAATTATGAGACTGATTGTATAACTGAATAGCTTGAGACATCGACTCTCTACGGATAAACCCTTCTTTCAGTCTTGTCCAATGCGACTATCAACGATATAATCCGCAGTTGCAAACTCATCCACATCTATCCATACTTTTTCGCATAAACTCCAAAGGTATTTCTCAAATGTAGCGTTTAAAAGCGTATGCGACTCGGCGGAGGTGATGTTGATCATTACAGACTGAGACAACAGAGAAAGTAACTGTTGCACGGAGGTTGCTGAATAAAGCAAGACGATAACTCGACTGAAATAAATGACTTTGGGAGCTAATCGAGTACTTGGAATAATTACACACCTGTCCACCAAGTAGGAGAGCTTTCTTCAAGGATCCATAATAAATAAAAACATGTATTGTCTACAATCCACATCATTTCCTCCTCATTTTCTGAGGTGGCGCCATGATAATCTCCCTTACTTTCTTCCTCCCTATCCTCGATCTTTTCTTGTCCCCTTCCTTCACAGATAATCGTCATCTCATGAATAACGGTCTCTACTATACTCTTCCCAATACTTCCATCAAACGTTCCGATGTCCACAATCATTCTAACTAAACATTCTCGTGGATCGCGCTGCAGATTTTGCAGCAAGTTGAAACAGCAATGATGGTTAAGAAATGACAGAGGATAAAGGAGCGAGATCAAACGAGGAAGGGTAGAATGGAGTGACTGGTAGGGAAAGTGTGTGACCGGTACGATAACTTTGTAGAAAAAGAAACGTGTTTGTTGAATAGTCTCCAAACCTTTTTAAAGAAATTGAAACAAATCCTATTACCGCAGAGCTTTCTTATAGTGTCACCAAATCTTTTCAGACACGTTTCGAAAATAATCTCGAATTGATTCTCTTTTTCTTCGTCTCCTTTGGTTGGTGATGTGGAATAACTCCCTTCTTTCCCTGCTTCCGCTCTTTTCTCACCAGTTTTTTCAATTTGTCCTTGAGCTCGTTTCAACTTTGTCTCCATTTTTCTAGTTTCTTGGACGACCATACTTTCAATCTTAACTTCCATGAAAGAAATAATTTTCTCTATTGCCCTTTGCATGGCATCGATTGACGCGGCCGATGCTGTCTGGCGAAATGATGAATAGTGGATATTGAATGATTGTATGTATTGAAGAAAGGATGTTGCATGTGATACGTCGTGGTAAATAAAGGGAACTAATAAACAAAAGTCAGTATATATAAGAGGTGGTAATCGAGACAATTGAATAAAAATATACATTCGATATCGCTAAATGTGGCCCAGTTATCATCATCGATGCATGTTTTTAGAACTTGAGTTGCCTCTGGACAAGTACGAGTCATACTCGGATCACAATCTGATTCCGGCTCTGTTTTTGTTTTACGCCTTTTCAAAAGTTGATTCTTTGATTCTATTTCTGTAGATTATGCATCAGTATCATTATTATAGTATGGTACATCACTTGAAGCTCGACCTCAATTCAGTAGTTTATTTACCAAGTTCGGCAATAGATAACTTTTGTTTAAGAGATTCTATTTCTGCCAGTGCACGTTTTCTCCATTCGAGATTCTCGCGCGTACTGTCTAATACGTGGTTCTGTTTGTATGGGATTTCCGTTGTGCATGTATTTACAGCACATGTCGCCTCGTTCGATTTGAACGCGAGATTTTGGGTAATTTGACGAATATAGTCTGAATTTTGAGAGAGGCGCGCGTATGTTAATAATAAGATGGAATGGGGTTTGTTACGGATTTATATTTAGACACCTTGTAGTGTAATATCAGCTGGTTTGGAATGCATTATCGATATTGCCTTTGTAAGTTATCGACATGCGTTTGTTAATATGTGAAAGTACTAATATAATGACATAATGCGAAATTCTACCATTGCGAGTGTTACTTTTGAGATAATTTGGTTATATTCCAAGTGCGACATCCTAGTGCTTACAGGAGCAAAAGACTGAGACACACGTTATTTATTATATTTACAAATTTAAACTCAGTCGCGTTGGGAATATCGTGATCAATATTATCATATTATTCGCTTCTCGGCTCACATGTGCCATTATGTCACTCTGCTTGTAATGATGAGTTCAGCTTCACCGGACGATTTCAAATACAAAAAAAAAATGCGAGCATCATTACTTGAACCGTTGATACAGAATACTATCTATCAGAAAAGATAACACACACGTGACTTATCCAACAATATTGATACTAACCAATTAAGAAGTATAGCCAACATGAGAGGGATCAACAGATAGAACGAAAAACCGTCAAAAAGCTTAACTTGACGAGAAAACAGTTTATTGAACGGTGGCGTGCATAAAATGTCATAGTATGACATGAATAACGGTGCCAGTTCCGATATACAAAATAGCTTACGAAATAGAATGATCTGTTAATGGTCTAAAAATGAAACATAAGAACAGCAAATTAATCAAGCGAAATAATGGTTAGACCAATGGTTTTCTCGGTTTGTTGTTTATCCTTGGTATGCGTACAAAAAAGTTATGTACCTTTATTTAGGTTAGCCCCAACAAAAGTAATTAGATACGATATATCTGAAACAGTCATGAAAAGGAGTGCAGAGTGTGGCAGTGCGAAAACACTTGTGAAAATGGGGCGCTGCACATAGAATCATTCGACGGTAACAGAATATCCTGTTGCGGTATCTGCGTCTCACTTTCTCCCGTTCCCGCTCCCACCTTCTCCCTTCCCTCTCCTTGTCTCGTGCGCGTACATTGACGATGCCTTGTATATCAAATACTTGATTGCCCTAAAAGGCTTAACCTAACGAATAGGAACTGATGATGCTCCGTCTTTAGAATTCATGGATCCCCTGTTGGAAGTGATGTAAGAATTCTTAATGGGACTGCAGATGATCAAATGACTTTTATTCCAATCACTAAAACTTTATTGAGTATTTTTTTTTATGTCGTATATATATATCTGTGTAACACGATAAATAATGTTTTGGTCGCACTCGAAACGTAGCTAATTTTGTTTGGCGGGAAATAGGTTGTATTTCGCAATTTGCAAATTGATGTCGCCGGACGTTCCGAAAAAAAAAAGTAATTTACCGTAAGACAAGGTCAAGACGTCATCACTCCGCCAAGATACTGATACTTGGCACATCCTTGCAATATATTTGTATTCCCGATGGTCACGTTGCAGAGCAGCATGTGAAAAGGTGAATGTATTTGAATAGCGTAAAACTGACGTTTGTAATACTATTAAGGATGTGTAAAATTAGTTAATATCACCCACTATCACAGTAGCGTGACCATACAAAATGAAAATAAAATAAGGATAACGAGTGACAGCAGAAAGAGGCTTACCAGTTGTGTGATAATACGGCCCCAACAATTAATAATAATCCATCAAATGATTTTATTGTTATTATTAGTGTTACATGTTACCGTACCCAGAACTTTGAACTGTCCCCAAACCAGTTCAGTGTAAACTATGTATTAGTTAGTATTATGCGGTTTGCTGATCGAGCTGCAACTTTTTTTTTTCCTTTACAGATTCAGTGGTCCGATGTACAGTACCTATTACGTGTAAGGACTCCATCTTCCATTCTATGCACATAACCCCCCACCTCATTCATTATTCTTCTGAATCGCAATCTTTTCATCAGTACTTGATATCAAATTTAAAACGGACAAGATTAATCTTTTCGATCTCTGATTCAAAAGAAAAAACAAAACAAAAACGCACACAGATATCTTTGTTTACTGCTTCTCGTCCAAGAAACGTTTTAACGACGCATATCTCCGTGATGTGCGGATCACCTGACTGTCATCTTGAAATCCGAATTAAGTGATTAAAACCTAGATTTATTTGTGGAACGGCTGGTAGAAGTTTATTCACCCAAATTAGATATTCTGGTCATGCGACTAAGAATAATGATTAGAATGTCCAGATGAACAATGGTGATACTTACAAATTAAAAATAAACGTCACTTACAAATAACTTGGATGTAACCTGTTATGAAGTTGCCCCGAAACCATCGATCTCCATCTATCATCTTCCATCTATTCAACCCAAGTGCACCACTCACGTCGTTTCTCTAGATAATCTGCCATATCGCATCTTGCCAGCCTGCGCTTGTTGCAAGTCTTCATGTGCTTACGAAACTGACAGATAAGATCCCAATTTACTATTCTTAACCGAAGAAGTATTTACAGTGGTGGGGGTTTCTTTTTTTTTTTCTTTACTATTTCTTTTTCCGGCATTATGACTTGTGTATTTCCTATTTCAGGTTTCTAACCGTTGATAAGGGAGATAAGCTACTATTCCTAATATGGCTTATCTGGGTGACAGCGTCGTATCAACTGATTACGTTACCGTTCGGTATCTGAAGTTATTATGACTCATAATAAATATATTACCCATGCATATTAAACTACTCCTTGGTGTAACGGTAAATAGATAAACTTTGTACATCATTACAATACAAGTTTATATTGCACATTGATCATCTATCTACCACATCTACGGTATGACACCCGATGCATATTACACAAAGGAAAATATTTAAAAACCCATCCCGTCTGCCCTTCCTGTCTCTTCATATCAAATCAAACAACTATTCAGACAACTCTCAAACAAACAACTGCACAACTCCACAACTCACATCCAACTTACAATACTCAATCACTTTTTCACGAATTTTAACGAATTATTCAAGAAATGGCATTCGTACCCAAGAGCAACACTGAAACCCTCCGCAAGTACCTCGCCCTCGACCAAGGTGGCCGAGTCCAAGCCGAATATATCTGGATCGATGGTGATAATGGTCTCCGATCCAAGACGATGACTCTCGACTTTAAACCCACCGATGTCTCTGAACTGAAAGAATGGAATTTCGACGGTTCATCCACTAATCAAGCTCCTGGTAACAACTCTGATGTATTGCTACGTCCTGCGGCCATCTTCAGGGATCCATTCCGTGGTGGTGACAACATCCTTGTCCTGGCTGAATGCTATAATAATGATGGTACCCCTAATAAGACAAATTACCGCCATGCCGCTTTAAAGATCTTTGAGAGATTTGCCGACGATCATCCCTGGTTCGGTCTTGAGCAAGAATATACCCTGTTCGATTCAGAAGGAACCGTGTTGGGTTGGCCAAAGAGCGGATTTCCGGCACCCCAAGGACCTTATTACTGTTCGGTCGGTGCTGATGTGGCATATGGGAGAGATATTGTCGAAGCACACTATAAAGCTTGTATGTACGCTGGTGTCAATATTTCTGGTATTAATGCTGAAGTCATGCCTGGTAAGTGAATTTAAAATCTGGTTAATTTTTAAATTTTATTTTGTTTTATTTTGTGTTACGAATTTACTTAGCTGCTTTCTCTCTTCCCCACTTTTCCCTCTCTCAAAGGTCAATGGGAATTCCAGGTTGGTCCATGTGAAGGAATCTCGATGGGAGACCATCTTTGGATGGCTCGTTTCCTCCTCAAGCGTGTCGCTGAAGATTTTGGTGTCGTAGTATCCTTCCATCCAAAACCAATAAAAGGAGATTGGAATGGTGCTGGATGTCACACAAACTATTCGACAGAGGCCATGCGTAAGGAAGGAGGCATCAAGGCTATCCACGAGGCTATAGAAAAATTATCTCAACGTCATGCCGAACATATAGCAGTATACGGAGACGATAACGATCAGCGATTAACGGGTCAACATGAAACTGGACATATTTCGCAATTCTCATCAGGTGTGGCTCATCGTGGCGCCAGTATCAGAATTCCTCGACATGTGGCAGCCCAAGGATATGGTTACTTGGAAGACAGAAGGCCTGCATCGAATATTGATCCGTACCGTGTGACCGGTATCATTACCCAAACGACGCTCTCATAGGCCGGCGAGAGAAATACAACGGGATAGCAACTGTCTTGGATTTACAATGTTCTTGGATATATTCTCTTGATTAACGAATTTTTATGAATAGTTGTTTCAAGTAGTAAAATTTCTAGCATTAGCGTATTACTTTCTATATATATTCCTAGGAGCTAATAATGTGCGCACTTATCTTTTTAGCAGAGTATAAATTGGGAAATGGGTTTAATCTTATTAATACATTACAGCATATTTTTTTTGTCCGCATACTCTATCATATTATTATTATACATTTCTCATTTTGTATCATATAGAATTCAAAAGACAAAAAAAAATATATAAATAGTAATTTAGCTCTAGCTTTGAAAAAAACAGAGGCTCTTGAAAACATTAGCGGAAAAGTCGCGAAGTTCTGCGAAATGTTTGACAGAGTTTTTTTTTATTTAGTTTTTTTTTTATTTTCCACCCAGCAAGACAAAATCATTCATTCTCCCTCCACATTATGCATTTTTTTCTACGAAGGACTTCTGCGCAGAGTCCGAAGTAAGTTTTTTATATACACCCCCCCTTCTTGTAAATTTCCCTTGTAACATACAATCTGTGTATAATTTTGGCATTCCTTCAGGTACTCTTCCGAACATAAGAATTTTTTTAAGACTTCAAAATATTATGTGTCGACAGACAAAACAAATACTCACTAGGCAATGCGTCATTGTATAATAATAATAAAAGGAAGACTGTATGCAATCATTTTCATTTCCCACACAAAATCGCGTCTACCTCATGTCATGATGCTGACTGGTTTTTTACGTTCAAGTACATTTTGCAAGTAAGAACGACTAATGAGTACCGTTATATATTATTATATATACAACATGTAATAATGACGTATAGAGAGAAAAAAGCGATGCAACTTGTGTTGATTTGATTGATATATACAATATATGTGATATTTTAGGTCTCTCTCATCGTTGTTTCAAGTACGCACACAAATACAACGTTGATTGGATGTATGGAGAAAGGGACGACTAACCACCGCGAGAACAAAAAACATAGGAAACCCACATCAATAAAGTGTGGTAAAAAATAGTAATGGGCAAGCGTTACTTCCATGAACGAAGAGGACGAAAATCATGGTTGCAGTAAATAGCGTGCAAAGAGGTTATGAGGTTATGCACAAGTTCATAATAAATTATTACCACACACGTTCAGTGAAAGTTGGCTACGACAGTTGACTTGACTATACACTTTGACTTTAACGACTGTCAGTTTTTGGGACTGTTAGCATGCATCTTTGGAGACGTGATTTATACTTTGGGCAAATATGAAGAAATACTCTCCACCTCTTTGAATAAAAACATCAGCAAGCATTTCTAATGTAAGTAAGACTTTATTAAGCAAGGAGTTTTTATACTTGATGATAAGACAAAATCTATTGTTTATTCCAGTGATCAGCAGACATTCGATTATCTATTACAAAAAGTACGATTGTTCGATGTACCAATCAAATAAATGCAATTTCATCTCATAAGCAGATCTATAGATATCCCGCCAAACACCGAAATTTAGCCAACAGTTGTGATTGGTAGACTTGCTGTAACAAAGCGAATAGTACATAGAGAATTATCCACTCCCGATCAATTTGTATGTTCTTGAGATTGCTGATTAAGCCTTCTCACAAATAGAGATCATGCACGATAAATCAAATCTAAATATCTTTCCTTTTTTCTTATGACTTGGCTTGCTATTTGTTCCCGTCCTGTTATCTTTTCTTTCTCACTAACCGTTTCAGATCTTATCATTATCTGCAATTGATTATGTGTTCCGGATCTATCTCGCTATCGATAAACGGGTGTTATAAATGTTTATTACCAGTTTATAATAAGGCAAATTGTGCATCGTATCATCGTTTGAAATCAAATTTATATTGACGACTGTTAATACAACCAAACTAATGGTCATAGCAAATATTTATTGTCTGATCCGGGACTAGTTCTGAACCAGAATTGGATTAGTTTAATTTGAGAATAAACTAACTTAAAACCTATGTTTTGAGAACATGTTGATCGTGATCATCGTAGTGCATATTACAATAATTTATGCGTTGAAAAGTTCCTCGCGATAGTCAACTCTCATTATAACGACGTCTTGGGCAAGGCAAAATCAGTCGTTCTGTAGTGGTCGTTATATGCAGCGTAGTATATAATTTTAAATTCTATAATGCGGAGGAATTTACACATATACAGAAAATTATTATCAAAAGAGTTTCACAAAGGCTGGTTGGTATGGTACTAAATTTACGGCTGTTGAAAATGTCCATATAATTGATATGTATCGAGTCTACTCGCGCAAAATATCGATAACATTTGTCAATAAAATTTCTGAGCAAGCAGCGTCTCCTCCTATACTAAATTTAGCACAATACGTGTGCGAGAATATTTCGAGTCGATGACATAGTCTAATGAACAAAAGAAAATCATTCCAACCTTCTTGTAACGTGGTCTTTATTTTCAAATTTTTATATCATAAAAAGATAGCCTGAAGATAAGCCGCGCAACTCGAAAAAAAGGGCGATAAAGCAGTTTTTTACATTAACTGTTGTCAGGGGACGATCAGGCCCAAACTTTATACCAATTCGCTTGTCCCTGTTTGAATCAGCATCACTACACAACTTTACACAATTCTTGCAAGCATTTGCTCTCAACTTGTGCATAGCTGGTCGCATGCTAAACACGATCTATCTCTGAGGGGTGGTTCATCAATGGACTTGAATTGTGACACGATAAACGCGGTGCAATTAAGGTAAACGCTGGTTAGGTCAAGTTTGATCTTGACCAACCACTAACAGGAAACAAAGTCCAGAAAGTATTGAATAACTCAAAGCTGGAGCATCTCAAGAGAAATGTGGATGTGGGTATACAGTATAATAGATCAACATTAAGTTGTGAACCTTTGTTTATGCCTTTAAACTTTTAATATCAGATGTCACCAAAAAGACTAATTTTAGATGACACAGAAAGTGACAATGAGAACAACCGTGGCATAAGAGATGGGACATATTTAACGAGATTCAATCAGCCATCTCCAATACACAAATTAACACATGATGTTTGCCAGAAAATAATTACCCATTGGTATGAACTATTATCATAACTGACAGGGCCAACAGATTAGCCCATGTGACAAACAAGCGGGGGAAATTGTCCTACAGCTGTTTGAGTTGTGATTGTTTCTTCACGTTGTTTTTTTTAATACTTGCCATTCTTCCATGACCTTAATTTACAGTCTTTATAGGACCAAAGAAGGTAACGATTTCCTAGAGTTCAGCTAACACGGATACGCGGAAATAGATGTGATAGTAAAAGCATGTTCGTATATCATAGATGGACTTGACAAAGCTTGTGGCGTATATCAAAAGTGGTATGTCAGGAATTGTGATTGTGTTTCTACGTAATGATATGATTTTTCTATTTAAATGTGTGGTTGTCAGGGAAGAATCGTCCTGTCCCTCTCACCAAATCAGCGAACTATATCTGCATTGCGTGACTTTTATTCACCCTGAATTTTGTACTCCCAACCAACCACCTAACGCGAGCACCCTAAGTATTTAACTAAAGGCCATTGATTGGTCTTTCACATAAAAATAGTTTTTAGTCGATTGGACCCCATTTCATGTGTCTACCTGACTTGCATTTTAACACATATCATAACGTCTATTATAATTATGATTTGTTCATGTGATGCACGATATGCGTTCTAATGGATTTGTTTATATTCTTTATAATTAACTTTACACTATCAACGATGAATTGTATTCTAACAACTTAATTTACTTTCAATCATCATCGCCAAAGTTTTAAACAGACAAACAATCTGGATAAATATTTTCCCCAATAGCATATATCACAACAGCCATGACTAGCACTAGCACTCATTATTGGTTCTCTCACGATGTTAAACAAGTTTCTTGGCCTCAAAGAAACTCTTCAGATGTCGCATTTGCCACAAACAAGTTATCCCTAGTACAATCAATTGTACTATGGTCCACGCTACCACGCGTGAATTAGTAAGTTCGGATTGATCTCTGAATTCCGCTTCTCTTTCCTGATAATGTTGTAAAGAGGAACGTGAATCGAAATTCTTTGTATATCTTTGTAGCATTCGTGGGATTTACAAGACTAATATAGCAAATTTATCAAGTTTTACTTGTACTTACCCTCTGATAATTTTGTTCTCTCCTAATATCAGCGATGCGATTGTTCAGATCATGCACTAGCTGGGATAGATCTATTCAACAAATAGTATAATCAGTTCGATATCTCTCAAGCGTCCATCGTGCGAGATCGTAGAGCCTACTCTTGTTTTGTTACAATTATTCTTTTTCAAATATCACCCTCTTCCCTGCCTCTTTTTCTCTTTCTTACCGTTAATATGACTAGCATCAATGTCTTCGTCGTTCATAGCATCTCCGATAGCCATATCCAAATGTAATCTAACCTGAGTGCTCGAGAACCACGAACTAGAGTTCGTTCGGAAACAAATGGCATGATCGCCTGATTCAACTGCCGTGAATGTAAAAGTGCCACTCGACGGACCTTTCTGATTAACCAAGCGAGAATTATGCGGCAGTTCTTCGACTGTAATTTGGATCCCAAGATTTCGATTCTCGTGGAACTGTTTTTGTTTATCGGACCATTCTTCGGCTTTATAAGTGCCTATAAACGAGAACGTTGAAACAGATGTCAGAAAGGCAGTGTAAATGAAACGTTGTGCAAATAATGTGTAAGGATTTCAATAACTCTAGACATAATCTGGCGAGATTAACCTATTCATAGCTTACCAACGACGACAGTTTCTTTTGGAAGTTCTTCAAGGAAACATTTTTGCTCACTCCCTTCCAAATAGAAATACAACGCCTCTGTCCGTAGACAAAGCAAAACCAGCAGAGTGAGGGCGACCAGTGCGACCGATACCCTAAAATTCAATTGCTTTCTACCCATCTTCTCCTTGCGTCAGTCTGTTAAATCTATAGGGTCGTTATTAGTCTCTTCTAAACAAAATCATTGCGTTACTCAAAAACCTCATACTTGCGTTCACGTGAATGTTGGCCAAAAAATCTGTATACCAATAGTTTAATTCTTGTTGTACACAAATACAGTACAGATTCTAATTGTCTAACATCTATTTGAATAAGTATGCTGTGAATATGAACGACTTATTTTAAAGATATATTATTTCGGTCCGAATTGCCAGCAATATCGCCAATTTATAATATATATAGAGTCGTTAGCAAACATCTTTCGTTCTCGACATTGTCTGACGCACATATTTTAAAGATTGATCAATACTTGGCGAATTCTAAAGTTCGCGTGACTTCATATGGAAACTTTCTTCTACTTTGATTACTAGGAGTTTTACGTTCTTTATTGCCTGCATTACTTTGATTACTAGGCGCAACCTCATGGAAATCTTATGCTTACCGCAAAGATAATTAGGGTGGTATCAGACATGTTACGCCGACATTAACACAAGAGTATGCCGACAGATCGTAATAGTCTTAGAATGGAATGTATTCAGCGAAACGATATCGCTAGTCTTCAGCAGCAGATCTTATAAAGCATCTCAGATTCTTTCGATCTATTATGTATTATTAGTGAGTAGCTTTTTGATGCTTTGATAAACCCGGATCCGTATCCATGGTCATTGATCGCATCGATAAAAAGTGAAAACATAATCCCTCCATCGATAACATTATTGTGGTTGACGGATATGATTGCTCATAAACGCGTTTAATAATTTCCTACTGGTGATCCGCCGATAAAAGTGGATATAGATGCTTGCATGTTACTTAGCATTCGAAGATGAGAGTACGGGCTACGAGTATTAAAAATTCCGGTGCGACAGTTGATTCGACACAGAAATAGCTAATCATCAGAGTTTGCTCTCCCGTAATAGTAACTGACTCGATAATATTTTGCATTTCTGTTTGTAACATTTTATTACTGACAGCACAGTAACAGTAACAGAACTGTCCACATATAGTGGTTTCATTAATGAATATTTTGAATGCTTTCCTGACGTTATTTATTTGGCCTGTTGCTTGATGTTGGGGAACGAAGAAAGAACTCCAATTAGACTGTCTTTTAGTTGAACCGCACCAATGTTGAACAATAACATTTACCGGGTTGACAAAAGATTGGTCAACGTGCGTCAGTACAACCGATTGACATATACATTACCATCGGTAACCAGGGTTGTTCAATGCTGAAAATGGCGGATTTGGTTATGAGACAATAGCACGCAAGCAATTATATATAAGAAAAACGTAAATGCTTGTTTTCAAGTTGGATGACGTATGATTAGGAGGAGAGAATGAAGAAATAGTACAGCTTACTTCTTAGAGTAAAAGAGCGTGTATATTGCCGAATAAATACGATGCGCGTAAATTACGTCTGCGATGCGACACAGTAAAGCATAGAGTTTTATACCACATAATTATTATCCATACTGTTAGTGAAACCTTGGTATTTAAATGTCACTATTTGTGCATAACCCAAACCAATGGCCAAGGCGGTAAAAAATATTACACAGTAACTCTCGACAGATAATTCGCTGACATTCCCGTTTGTTTTTGGTATGAGATATTTGCATAGTTATACTCTTATTTATATTTTTGGTAGGACAGAGTTTACACACGTTTCGAGCAGATTTAGACTAATAATGGCTTTTGCTTCCTTACTATTGGTGTACGTGAGAACTCTTATTTGAAAGTTTGAATGATTAGAAAATAGCCCAAACTGTTTCTGGCATCAAAAGATGAGATAGTGTAGCCAATTTGAGGGACCGTGCAGCCGAATTACTATATAACAATTCATCGAGATTTAATTTATCCTATTAATACCTACAAAAATGTTATTACGGCGAAAGCTTACGCTGACATTCTTTCTTGTCTGTGTAATATTTGTTTCAATTGCTGTGGCCGAAGGTATTGGTGCGGTTGGCGAAGATGTAATAAATACGACAGACGTTCGCATTAAAGAGGCAGAAGAGATAGAGGTGTGAATCGTGCTCAAGATGTTTTGCTCGTAGAGATCACTTTCGTCTCGTTAACTCGTAGATATGCACCTTATATAACATTGTATTTATATACTATTATTAGAAACAAGTAGTGAACGTGGAAGCTGAAGATCCGGACCTCGTCGGTTCTGTATTTGATATCGACCTTCGACATCCTGGTTTAGGTCATCAATCATTAATGTCTGCCGAGGATTCAAAATCCCTTTTCTTCTCAATCTTGATGATAATATTTTCTGAAATTGGGGACAAGACGTTCTTTATTGCTGCAATAATGGCGATGCGCAACTCGCGTCTTGTAGTATTCTCTGCCGCCTTTGCCTCACTTGTAGTGATGTCTATTTTTTCTGCAGCTCTTGGTCATACGGTTCCCAACATCATCCCACGCAAATATACTTGTTATCTCGCATCATTTTTGTTTATGTTTTTTGGCGCCCGTATGGCTTACGAGGGTTGGTACATGTCATCTGACGAGGCTAAACAGGAGTTCGAAGAAGTTAAGGCAGAGTTGAAAGAAAAGGAAGACATTGAAATGATGGAGGCTGTTGAGGGTGGACTGGTCAATGATAAAGGAGAAAATGGCGGATTTAAACAGGGCTTGTCAAATTTGTGCCAGTTCTTATTTTCACCGACCTTTACGCAAACCTTTATTCTAACTTTTCTGGGAGAATGGGGAGATCGGTCACAAATTGCTACTATTGCTTTGGCGGCATCCAAGGTAAATTGATTTCAATAAAGGAGAAAGAGAGGGAGAGGGAAAGGATAGATTGGAAGATAAAGTTGGGAACAGAGTGTTTAAAATCGGGGCATTCTATCTTTCAACTAATATAATTCCTTGAATCAGGATGTATATTTTGTAACTTTGGGAACAATCATCGGACACAGCTTGTGCACGGGAATTGCTGTTATTGGTGGCGGCTTACTAGCCGAAAGAATTTCTGTTAGAACAAGTAAGTATTCTGCATTCGAGTTTGGTAATGATGTTTGATTCACACTTGGTTTTTTTTTCTCACCTTTTCATCGCAATTAGTTACATTATCAGGAGCTGTGCTCTTCATGATATTTGGCGTTCTTTATCTCTACGAAGCAATATACAACGTGTAATCATTAGTGTACAGTATTACATTATTCATGAATGCGACAACGCAACTAATTTTTTTTTTGGTATCAATATTTAAATGGAGGTGACTTATATATAATAAACGTTAAAATAGATGATTGCTATTTGCTAATACTAACACGAAACCTTAGGTTTCCTCGTTAAAGATATTTGTGCAAGATTTATTTGTAATCTATGAACAGAAAGAGCATCTACAAAACAGCTCACCAAATCTGTATCAATTGATTAGACGTGATCATGCTACAAATATCTTTGAGTATGGCCACATGACGTAGCAACAAACGTACATTCAAACAGGAAGTTATACAAATATGATCTCATTACATTTTCAAAATAGAAACCATCTACACATTAATCTTATCTAAAGTATTAGCACGCATGTTATTATTCAAGACATAATTTTTATCTTTCTAGAGATGGACGCGATCACACATGAATACGTTCGACAAATTCAACACAATTATATGGATTACCAGAATCCAGATTCTTTTTAATAAACTCTCAAATAATTCTCTCATACTTATTATAAGAATTCGGAAAACCGTTGCTTACAATAATCTCGCGAACATTATGTTTTTATAAAAGATTAAATCTTTTTTTTTTGGAGGGTTTGGGGGGCAAAAAATGTCTATTTACAGTGTAGTTGCGAAACAACGCCGACAGAATAAACAATGCTAGATTTCGGCGTTCTCATAATAATGAGTTTCGCCAGCGGAAATATAACCATGTTCATCTTCTGCACAGCTCTCAAAACTATCCTCCTCACTCTGATATTCTCCACCATCATCGTATACATGAGCCGCATCCTGAAAACTCTTTCCGTGAGAGTTATAATCATCCATTCCGTTCATGTCATTCGAATTCTGTGATTCTGAATCGTTAGGTACGTCTTTTGCCCGACTTTTGCCCTTATCGGCGCGTCGCCGAGAGGATGATTCTGATTTGATAGACTCTTTGTCTCTAAACGGAAGCCATTTTTGAAATATTTTCTCGGATAATGATGAATTGGAATTGCGATGAAGGAAAGATTTAAATGTCCATCTTTTTGATGAAACTCTGGGCGTGCTATGAGGAGAATGAGAAATGTCTTCCATATAATCTTTATCCCCATTAATATCGTCGTACACCCCAACGATACGTTTTCTTCCTTTCTTCTTTACGTCTACTGCTCCTCTCCCATTCTCAGCATCCCTCACTTTATCGGACTCTATCACGAAATTTTCGTCTTCCTCTTGATACCGTCTTCTCTGACGCCGGTGACGTCTCTTCGTTTCTCCCCTCATTTCCTCTTGTGTCCGATCATATAGTCAGAATGCATGTTGATTCATTTTATCAACAACACCGTCGAAACCAATCTGTAAACATTTATGCCCGGCTAGTTCACATGCGAAACGAAGAACACTTTCGGGAGCCACGCCCAGAGAAAGACCATATATGACTCCGGCGATAAAGGTGTCACCAGCACCGACCGTGTCTACGACTCTTGTAATGGGAAGAGCTGGAGCCGTGAATAATCTTTGAGTCGGGTTATGAAAGCAGGATGCTCCGGCATCGCCCCAAGTGCAAAATAAGTAGGCTCTGAGAGTTTCGTAGGTAATTGATGATATTAGTAATGAATTATGTCAGCTGAATGGAAATGATTCCATGACAGCGAGGAAATTTAACAGTTGGCTCATTGATATTTTGTCGTATCTTTGCATCAATAAAACCAAAATTCATAATGCATATGTAACGAATATCAAACTTTGATTGTTTACTTACGTGCTTTTACAAGCGGGAGCCATAACAGTCAGAAAATCTCCCGGATGATCATATCCTTTGCCCTCAGCAAACACTTTCGAAAAAAATATCACGTCCGCCCTACGCATTAAGTGTTCCAATCCATGCCTATGTGGTTTCTCCAGTTCTACGCTGACTACTGTCCGTGATCTCCAAGGTTTCGTGTCAACATAATCCATCATTTTTGCTGTTTCTTCAACGTTTCTTCCTTCAAAATGAATCCAATGAAACGGTACGTCGCCTATTAGAGATGACATTGTTTCGCCATCACAAAGTTCATCAAATTTTTCTCCGAATTCAGCTGAGGTTAATTCCTCTATGCTGTTTTTTTAAAGATGGATAGGGAGAAAAAATCTATTGAGTGATGAGCTATAATAAGGATGTCATGTCCGCGTATTAAATAAATAAATATATAAAAGGTACGAATTGATTTATAAACACAATAGTCTTCTGTTGTATCAATTGATTCCTTTATGCCTTTCAATATAATTTAATTCACATCCATAACTAACCTATTATAATTTATTATTGTCCGTGAACTTGTTTCTTCGGCTTGAATTATGTATGCTACTGGAGAATGAAATGCATTCTGGCGGAATATACATGCAGAGGTCTGAATCCCATGTTTTTCGAAATCATTTATCAGAAAACTATTTTACAAGAAAGTTTAGTTAGTAGAGAATAATGTAGTAGATAGATCTACCGCTACAAAATAGTCTCGGTGTTAAATTCTCAATATCTTGTCTATAAGAGGAGGGGAGGGGAGGTTTCTAAATGGCTTATACCTCTCGCGCTTTGTTCACCCGTACACTCTAAGCCTAATTTCTTACTTTACTCATAAGTAAGCATTCAACTACGAGTTATTCTTGTACACTGCTTACTTTGATGCCTCTTCTGAAGCCATGGAAGCCATGAAATAAGACTGAAAGTTCGGAAATTGTGATAATATGGTCAACGTGTTTCCTGCATTTCCACCCCTTCGTTTCTCCACTTTTTGCGCTCTTTGTTTGCCATCCTCGGGCGGGAACTTTTCTACATACAATATTGTATCCTCGTATGCGGTACCAATAGCAAGTATTTTTAACGCTCTTTGCTGGTGGTGAACGTACGACGTATCTTCTGGCTGATAAGAGTCAGACGGGGTTTCTTCGGTGAATGACATTTTACTCTAGTCCTATGTTGATATTGTAATAGTAAATTGCTTAAATTTAATAATAATAAAAAAGTTGATTTCAGGGGACAGCACAGGTATTTAAAGATTTGTCTGACCTCATATTTATTTCCTATATTTTGCTTCGTACAAAAACATTGAATAATAATAACCGAAACAGATAAAAAGCGGTAATACCAATCGCTTATTTATTTAATTTGTACCAAATTGTCATCAAAAAAAGGCCATAATTTATGAGCTTTAATATTAGTCTTGCGAATGTATAATTTATAAAAAAGCAATTTTAAAGTTTGAATTCGCTATCATTAAGACAGCGCAAATTAGAACAATATGGTTGTCTTTAATTAATTCTTTAGGTAGTGAGGTTTCGCGTTTCCTCTTCTTTTTCTCTTTTCTTTGCTAGGGCAAATTCAACAACGACAAGATGTCATTGCTACACAAGATCGACGTAATACTTAATACTAAAAAATGGACGTCAAGTGAAAAACCTATTACTATATTACTCTCTGACCAATCAAAAAGATGACGATTCTTTGGTCGCTCTAGAAATAGCAACAGTAGAGGAACCGTTCTTGACGTCACACATTTATTGAACTTACAGAGTTTTTTGATGCATCAATACATTAGTGCACATTGTGTGTAACATTCTCACACAATGCAAGCGTGGATGCAACATATTTCGCGTTTCATTGAAGCATTTGGTCATCTGGTTCTGGATTTAAATTTCATCACCTTTTTTTATTATAATCTACTTCTTATATTCATTTTGTCATCTTTTATGGTTGCGCTTTGTTTTCTTCGTCAATCCAACGTTGAATTGATTCCTATGAGCTAAAATGTTTGAGGTTTTGAGGTCTTTATTGGCACACATTGGGTGAGCTAAAATGGTTGATATGGCTGGAAAATTAAATAACATTTTGGTAGGGTGGCACAATTGTGGCTCAGACATAATTACATAAACTATCTTACAATTGCTATTTTTATTTTAATTAAGAATGGTAGATTGATATGTTACAATTATAATCACACATTATATTATTATTATTATAGATTATGACTATATAAAAATATAATATAAAATTAATTACTTCAAATCCACTATGATACCAAAAACTACAATACTATTCGAAGTATTTTAAAGAGAGAACAAAGTAAAAAATTGCTCCATACGTTTTTAAAATCAACGAGGTACAAACAAAAAAATTACTTATTATTATAAAATTTATCGTAAAGAAAGAAAAATAATAATAAACGAACATGAATCAAGAAATAAAAAAAGAAACAAGTCTAGCAGCCAGAAGCATGTATTAACTAATGGGCGAGAATTTCTAAATGCTGTTGGTTTTTTTGCATTTTCAATCATAACATCGAAACAGTTAGTGAATTTTGGTCCAAATTATTTTCAAGTTCAACATCATTCCAATCATAACATTCTGATATAAAGTTTTATTAATTGCATGTTTTTTAAAGCTTGATTTTTCGTGCGATTGCAAGTTTGAACTTTTCGCCCACTATGATTTTAATTGTCACTTATTATTACGCATCATGAATAAACGATTTTATCGTTATTATCAGCTAGTCGCTTATTTTCAGAAGATTAACCAAAACTCAACAAATATTGTTTAAAAATAAAAATAATCAATAAATTTTACGAAGAATGCTTACATTCACAAGTTCTTTTCTGGAGTATTAATTGGCTTCGTTCATGGCACGACCTGTAATAGCCAACTCTGTTATTCTGGCGCGTTATTTAAGACTGGAAAGTCAAAAAGTTACGACCGATAACAAAGCTGTCAGCAAACAACACTTACTCGCCAGAAGTCGAAACGTTGTGGAATAATTTTAAACGATTATACGGCAAAAGAATTAAATTTTTCATTTAACAAAATGGGCGTTTGAAATTCACAAGTTACTTGGCGAAAAAAAAGGTCATTGCTGCTTCCACAATAGAAAACTTTTATCTTCGAAGAACAACTTGCGGAAAAAGATCATCGATGCAATCCAACGTTGGAACAACCGAATAATACCTATAGGATCGAAAAAAACAACTAATAAATTTACGATTGGAAATGTTCGACTAGCGTTCACTATGATGGACATTCAGTCTGGTAATCTCTAATTTCGGCATATGCTGAATGTGTTCGGGTTACAGCTTAACCAATAGTTAACGACGAAATCCCGGTAACGTTCTTAATAATACGATTATACCTAAACGACAACAACACCGCTACAACACTATAGGCAAGCATTGAAAGTCATGTGGAACTTTTTAAAAACTCGTGATTTTCCACTTGTTTTCATTGGCTGGCTTACACCTGCTGTATATTATGTATAACTCGACTCACATTAAGAAGGCAAGATGAAAGCAACCAAATAAACAGTGTGACCATTGAAATGTAAAATTTTTCAAACAATTATATTTATAGCATTAATCACTTATTACAAGTCTGTTTTAGTTTGTCATTTGTGATATTTGTATAAACATATTAATATCCTAGAATTATAAGCATGAATGTGACACTGTTTTCTTTTTCTTACCACACACGACTGTTCCTCCTGTTGTTCACTGAATTCTGTGTTCATTAACATTGCTGTAGATAGTTAATGGTCTGTTGGAATTGCAATTCCCAGTACTCATAATCTGGTGTTATTTTTATATCCATGTCATAAGCAAAGTTAAAAAAATCCTGAAATGCTTGTGGAAGGTCATCAAATAGATGAACCATTTTTTCTTCTTTTTTATAGAACGTTTTACACTGATAATGTGCACTAATATACTTGCCTGAGTTATGCAGGAATGCCACAGTGTAACACAATGATTCAAGGTCATCTGCAGCTCCAACATATGCACCTCTATTATGAGATGCAAACGTAATGTAGTCCTTTATCCAGCTGTCATGGAGAACATCTCTCTTGTCAAATAGTGGGACTGCACCGCCAAAATCAATTAATCGAAATTTGCTGCAAACCTTCACAAGGTTGCCTGGGTGAATATCATTGTGGATATACCCATGCCTGTGAAGGTCTTTCAGAATATTGAGAATATCTATCATGATGCTACAAGCAGCTAATTTGTTGATCTTGACAACTTTCTCACCAACCATACTCGTGACAATGTGTGGAACAATACAATCGTAGTCTTCATGTAATAGCCTTGGAATGTCCTTGACTTTGTTCAGCACCATTAATGTTTTTGCTTCATATTTTAATCGGTCACGATCAAGGCAATATTTAATGACAACATACTTATTGTCTGTAGTGCATGCTTTGAAGGCTAAGGTCTCCCAACCAGTACCCAAAAGCTGAAGTGCTTCTATTTTACCAATATTCGTGTTTACAATTGGAAGGCCATATGAAGACAACTCTGTTGCCCATCGCACAATCATCTCATGCATAGCCTCCTGTATTGTATGTTGATCTATGGTTATAAAATCTCCATTTGAACCAGAGCATTCAAAATCCTGAAGAGTACCATTAGCACGAAGGGTAATAATCTTCACAAAAGTCTTAAAAACACGTGCTATAATCTTCAACGTATCAAGACTCCATTCATAGTCATTTGTTAAACCAGCAACCATCCCTTTTTCACGAAAATCCCAATAGGCATAAAATAGCTTGTATTTCGTTGCATTGGTGATTATGGAGATATACTTCGAATGCTTGTTCTTGTCGTCTTCAAAAAAAAAGCTGGCAAACTGCCGGCATTGAGCAAGAGCTTTGTCCAGTTGTGTTTTGTTCCAACCTGCTTTGGTTTCAAATGACCAACATCGCCGGTAATTGATAACAGAACTAGTTGAACAGCACACTTCTGAATATCCAGGGAATACAAGGTAATGATCTCCATAATACTGGCCCTCTTGACGGCCGTGCCGAGTCTCATGGTTAATAGTCAGTTTCCAAATATTTGCCAAATTTGTATATAAAGCGCCAACCCACGGTTGAACTTTTGTAACTTCATCTGATAAATTTTCTGGTAGTTCATATGATTGAAAGGTTTTTTTAACATCATTTCTCTCTTTATAGTTCAGCTTCTCCAAGAATGAGAGATCACCCTCAAATGATCGAAAGAAAGGATGGTTCTTGATTTTTGCAGCAACTGTAGTTGTTGACATCAACTGCAGATGTTGATCTTCCAAACCTCTACATTCAGCTGATGGACATTGGGCAAGATGAAAGTACAACGCATCCAGTATTAGTACACATACATGCTTGATAGATTCCTTACAAACAGACTTCCTACTTACTAGACACAATAACTTGCAGAGGTGTTTGCGCTGTGTTCTGAAAGCTGCCGTCTACGATAGTGTCGGATGTCAAGATTGTTAACTCCCCGTGTTTACGGAGGGCAATTTTGCTGACAGCCACATTGTCTAACTCGGGCTTCAGTTTCTTCTTGACTGCCTCTTTTAAGTCATCCACGTCTTCACCACTGAAAACAATTTTGGTTGGCTGATCGTCGCCATATATGACCCAGATTTTGAAAGACATACTTGACGCGGGAAGAGTAAGAGGTGAAGCGTAACTTGAGAACTTATAAACGCGGGACAAGTAAGAGGTGAAGCGTAACTTGAGAACTTATAAACGCGGGAAGAGTAAGAGGTGAAGCGTAACTTGAGAACTTATAAACGCGGGAAGAGCAAGAGGTGAAGCGTAACTTGAGAACTTATAAACGCGGGAAAAGTAAAAGGTGAAGCGTAACTTGAGAACTTATAAACGCGGGAAAAGTAAGAGGTGAAGCGTAACTTGAGAACTTATAAACGGGGGTATGTCACATGTATACATCTCAGTAAGAAGTCTCGGGAAAAGAAATTGGGTGTCCGATTTCGACCGCCGAATTTTTCTTTTTATCAAACAAGTATGCATAACAATGGCTACGATTGTGGAATTATCGCCGAATTTTTTTATCAAACAAGTATGCATAACAATGACTACGATTGTGGAATTATTATTTCCATTCATGTATTAATTGATTATTTTACTTGTAAAAATTCCGATACAATGGACAATTTATTTCATTTTGTGTAGGAAAACCGGCTACAAAATATTATTAATTAATATGTCTAATTGGAAAAACGTATGAATATCAACTTAATAATATTTCGACTAAACGGCTGAGGAACCGACCTGCCAAAATGGCAAAAAATTGGGGGAAGTGTTATAGTTATGGATCGATAAAAACTTGAACAGTTGTCAAACGTCTTATCAATCAAATTACAGTATACTGCATATTAATATCTTCGCTTAGACAAGCGTCAATTAAAACTTCTTTTTTCATATTAAGCCTGCCAAAACGTAGTTGAGATACGTGCCGTGCTGGATTAACTATATAAATGAGGTAAAAGTTTTGCCCCTTTCTTGATCGCAAGTCACGAGCATTTCAGCTTCACCTGTTTCAGACCCTAATAAAAGGCCATCAAGTGAAACAGTAAATACAATACTCAAAATGTTGATCACTCCACCATCAACTTACGAGTGATTGTCATATTGGGAAAATGGATACAACACTCCCCACATTATTCACATTATTTAATGACGTCATGATTTTCAATAATGGATGATGTCATCTGTTTTAACGGAAATGGGAAAGTATAATAATACAGTATTTATCTATAAAAATTTAAATTGCTCTCGTGTTGAATTAGGGATGGCACAGCTTGAACTCGAGCTCGAAAAGCAGTTTTCCGAAAATGCCAGCATATAATCGAGAAATACTGTCGTATTTGTGAGTAACTTCGTGATGGGTTGTCTTTGAGCGTTTGTACAAATCGTATAGTTACGTATAATAAAATAATAGCGTCGACCGTAACAAATCCAATTGTGGGAATGTTGCTGCTTCCCGCACTTTTTCTACAGCCTTCAGTACTATCCAAAGTAGGGTTTCTGGTTACTAAATTAGCCGTCTTAAAAATGCTATCGTTAGTTAGCTGCCAAACCATAGACAATAATAACACTATACTAATTACCTGAAACATGCTTCGGAGAAAAAATAAAAAGATAGCAATCCGCGCATCCCAAATTGATTTAGTAACAAAACATATTCGCCAGAGCAATAGTCCGTCTAAACTTTCTCGGTAGAGAAAGGAGAAGACTTCAAATAATATTCCCAGAGAACGACATTGTGCAATACTTGGATTATTTAGCAATAATACTATTTCGATTATGTCTATTAACAGTCTAGCCGCGCCACTGATATTAAAAATTGATTTCAGAGCATTTGGTAACTTTTGTGGACGCGTGGCAAAAAAAATTAAAGACACCGCGAAGTTGTGTAGAAATATCTGTAAAGGAAAATTAGTTGCAGTACATTTGTGAGTTACGTATCAGAACTTAATTGTGGGTCTTCGTTTACCGTAGTAGCCGCTGTAAGAGCAAAAATTTTTAAAAATTTGTGCTGTAGTTCGGACATTTTTGTGTGATATGTAATGATATCAATTAGATTTATAGCAGAGACAACAACAATACAGCTGTATTCAAGTATTGTGCAATCCATAATACAATGTTACGGGAACACGTAATCATAAACTATTTTCTTGTATATCCACTATTGATGTCCATTGAACAAATTAGCCTAGTGGTCGCAGCTTGTATATTTACGTTTGCCGGAACCGTGAATGCAGCAATATATAGCATAACTTGCAACATTATCTCAGTAAAACCCGTATTCGAAATTATACCAATCATTAAACGTCGAAGGACCATCGACGAAGAAACTTCACGGATGCCTCTAGACATATCAGTACATACTGTCACGACAACTACAATCGAGAGCAGTACTTTTGATGAGGCGACATCCGCATAAGCAAGTCAGGAAAATACAGAAGAAACGGTAGAATTTTTTTTTCCGAACAGCCATACTAATACAAACTTTCACGTCTTAGCCGTCGGCTTCTACCTCGACGGGTAATTCTGTTACATAACAAATCGGTACCGATAAAAGTTCAGAAGCGCAATTTATATATAAATCCAACATTCAAAAAAAAAATAGAATTTATGTCACGAGATTGGCACTTCCCAGTATAAATAAACCTGGTTTACAATACAAGCATATCTATTATTTTAACACAAATAAACATGTTGCCCATCATCAAATATTTATACCGTCTCACCTCAATAAAACTTCAAAGACATCAGGCATTACATCGTCAACATTAGAACTCTATGTTGGACGTCGCCGCATGCCTTTATTTTATTTTCGAAATATTTACATCTACTACACAGTATTATCGAGTGGGCAACGAATATCTTGTTGTTCGGCTCTTTTCCAACATCAATTGAAATGTCTGTGTGTTGTTCGCTTTCGTAAAGATGCTCATAATCTATTGATAAGCCGGAAGACAGATCAATCACGTTTCCCATACTGATAATTAGTATTTTATATTAAACACTTATTGAGCCTGTTATTTTTATAATCAACGGCTGTTACATTTGTTTGTGTGGTGCATAATTAATTGCCTAAATTGGTTATATGGTACAAATGCAATTGTATATTGATGTACGAATTAGTATGTAAATTGAAAAGCTGACTGATAGTATTTTCTCAATTAGGTTTGTCAGATTACCTATCGATTATGAGACGAAACTGGAAAATATAATTTTCGGGTAAATTTGCTAAAGTTGTCTGGCAATATCAAATCTCAGAAGCGCGTTTCAATTACAGAGTTAGTGATGTAATCCCTTGGGTGACCCAGTAACTGTTCACCACAGAATACAACAGTTACAAGACAAGAGAAGGTCTAGTTAACATTGCTTTATTTAATTAAGACAAAAAAAATGTATTAGCAGCTCATGGTTGTTTTGTTAGCCTCCTCTTTTGCGAGTGTCAATAGCGTCAACAAACCAAAAGCCTTGCGACTGCAATACAGACTCAACGTCTTCCTTATTGTAAGTATACTCTGTCAACAGTGGGAGACCGCCAAATTTGTAAATATGCTGCCTGGGATTATAGTAAAAGCCGTAATTATTCTTGTCGAAAAAAAACAGCCAGATCTGTTTTGTTCAATTTAATGGTCTCCTCAGCGTAAAATTTTTTTGCTTGTATTAATTTAGCTTTAAAAAAATTTGGATTCAAAAGTGCAAGCAAGGCTACGGTTGCCTTCTCTTCAGCACGTAAGCTGCTAAATCCCGAAGCATAACCAATATATCCTGTGGTACCGAACAAGTTGGACACATTTGGGCCATCGTATTCCAAAGTAAGACTTTTTCTTTTTTGACCTTGTATATTTTTGTATGTAAAGGTGAGGTATTCCGGGTACATCCCGTACTTCTTTGGAGGCTCATTAACATGCTCCAACAGCAAATTAACAAATTCGTTCAAGGCAGTAATGTTAACCTGGTTATCCATGCTAACGTTGTTATTCAAATTTGGCGATTCAAACGGCGATGATGTGGATATTTATATTTCTGAAGGCAAATTGATGTAAGAACAAAATTGTAACTCTCGTTTGCCAGTAGAACCGAGTCCACTACTAATTGACAACAGCAGCATGCTGATTTGAATACAACGATTAATAATATAGACGCAATTTATTAGTTTTTTATATATCATTGTTCAAATCTCTGTTCCTGTGACGCAATAGCCTAAGCCAACGAATTGCACAATACTTGAATACAACATGTTACTAGTCAAATTAGTTAACTTTCAGCCACATCAGCCTCACATAACAGAATGTTCACTTTGTCTGGTTTTGTTGCAGTCTGCCCCATTTAAGAGATTACAAAGAAAACAGAACCAAAGGCCAGTGAAAGAACTCAAAAGCTCAAAAGAGAAAGTTAATTTGATTAAAAAAGATGTCAAGCAAAAGTTTGACATCTATATCTTACAAAGCAATTAGTTATGAAAAAATTAGAATATTAATAATTTTTGAAAAAACAAATTATTTCCCTGATATTGTAATTATTTATATTATGTGATTAGCGACAAACTAGTTCTTGGTAATGCTACTCATGAATTAGTGGTATACCTAAAACCATGAAAATAGTTCTGCAGCAGATATTGGCTTTATTATTATTTGTAAAAAAATTTTGAAGACAATAATCTCTCTCATTGTGAGCTTTGTAGTAGACTACAAAGAAATTAAAACAGGATGAGATGTCATTGTAATCTATTAATTTAGAACATCTTCCACAAAAATGAAGCATCCCAAACTATTAAATCATAAAACCAGGAAACTTCAAAATAAATTAAAAACTGCCAAAGAAGAGCTGAATATTGAAAAAAAAGAGGTAACTAAATTTTGTAAAAATAAAAAAAAAGAGGTGATGGAAAAATAAAAAAATTAAAGAGTTGGAAACTGATGTACTAAAATAAAGGGAAAAAACCAACACTTAAAATGGTTAAATTGCTCAAATTAAAGTTAAAGGACTTAAGAAATGGCGTTGATTGAAATTAAAAGGGTCATTGTTTTTTTTAGAATGCTTTTAATGGTGCTGTTACATGTGGTGGATTTGATGTAAATTAATTTTATATTATATTTTATATAGATATAGGTCTATATAAAATATATTACTGTTATACTATTAGCTGCCAGTAAAACGTTTATTCACATTTTTGATTTCAAATTAATAATGCAATTAAAATTTATCAAGTATTAGTATGGGCCACAGTTGTGCTAAATGCTAAATCAAAAAGCTTAAAAAATTAGCCACAAGAGTAATTTTTAGCTCATATAAGCAAATGTTCACTTTGTCTGGTTTCGTTGCAGTCTGCACCAAGTATGTCTATTAGTTTAATAATCTGCACGTAATCAGCATTATTTTGAATATTATTTGTCGAAAAAAAAACTTCAAAAAAGTGTAATTCGTCAAGTCTGTATATTTTTGCGAGCTTATAGTTGAAAACATTGCGACGCATATTATAAGAAATGGTATAATAGTAAGGCTCATACAGTCGCACCTGTCTATTTGCATACTGTCGGGACCAGTAGATTTTTATGCAAATAGACAGAATATGCAAATATACGTTATCACATGATTTGATACTCAAAATTTTTTTATTATTATGTCCTCTCATACAATACGTTATCGCAATCATTTTACACTACATCAAGCAATCAACAACGCTACCAAATCTGTTTAAAAAGCAAAATAACCCAAAACAAATTAATGAAGTGGTGTATTCCGAGTCTCCGAAACAAAGCGACGTTGGTAAATTTTTACGCCACAATAATAAAATCTAGATTAATCTGATTGATCTCTCCTTTTTATTTTGTAGTATATATGCGAATATACGTTGGTCCCGTTAGCGACGTGTTTTACGATCCGCCGCTTTCTGCCATTGAACGTGCTCCATCAACTCCTCCTTTTGCATTTATTGCTACGGTTATCGTCATCGACTTGTATGAAATTCAACAATCAGTTTTACTTTATCAGCCAGCGTGCAAAAAACTCATCGTATACTATAACTTTGCGTATATATTACCAGTATAACTGTGTATATTTTAATTCTATCGAATTGGAAAGTGAATACATTTCATGAGCTGTGTGACTGAAAGCAGGGAATCATGCAACCTCAATCGGTCACATCTATCAATAAGATTGCTGACAACCAAAAATACGCCATCCCTGTACAGTGCCCTCCAATAAATGAGTGAGTAACACAAAATTTTGCAAATTATACATCAAGTTCGCGCGCATGTAAC